TTGTTTACAAATCAATCCGGACCAGTCATCCATACTATATTTTAGTAACAAAAATGCTCTTGAGTATCTTTCCGGAAACTCAAATATTGTTATTGCAGGTAGTTTGATCCCTGTTCTAAATGCAGCGAGGAGCATTGGTCTGGCAATTGATTCCAAATTGAGATTTGATGAACATATTAAAAATTTGGTGCAAAGAGATTGTTGTACTTTCAGTGTTTAATTATTGCGATTTCATTTATGGCCCTTGATTGACGTCGGTATGCAAGTTGAGATTGCAAAAAATTCAAAACTGCTGCTCAAGATTAATATTGGGTCTACGAAATATGACCATATCTCTCATACATGCAAAGGGTTGAACTGGATAAAAATCGACAATCGCTGGCGGGATTATATGGTCTTTTTTGTTCATGAGTTGTTCATTGGTAGAAATACAGTAAGCGGGCTAATGTATGGGTAACATATTTGAAATTCCTCGTCATACCACGGCAATGTTTCAGAGATCCTTTGTTTATAATGCCATTAAATTATATAATCATCTTCCAATTGATTTAAAGCATATGAATTCAACACGTTTTTCCAGGTCCAGTAAGCAGTTATTTTTGTCATTATCATAGATGTGAATAAGACTAATACTAGCGATTTGTATGAATTAAAGTAATTTTACTTCAGATGAAATTGTTTGATAGAAGAGGTATGACATGTTATTATTCCTTTTGTTTGGGAGAGTAACTGTTTAAGTACGTTTCTAGAGATAAGAGGTGTTAAATCAGGTGATCTGGCAGGCCAGGAAATTGGACCTCTCCTTCCAATCCATCCCCCAGCATAATCCCGATTTAAAGCTTCACGTGCAATATGTAAAAAATGTGCTGGGCATCCATCATTTTGCAGCCACATATTTTGTTTTGCTCACAAGCAACTTTTCTGCCACTTTCTCCATAAATAAAAATCATTTCGACTTTTTCTGCCACACTTAGAGTATCCATGATTTAATGATTTAAACACTTTGCCTTCATGTAAAACGATGGAATTAATTCAGAATTTGTTGCCAAGCAGTTTTTATTAATTATGCCAATTTAGTTATTCTGAAAATGCCGACATAAGCAGGTCCACGAACTCTTGTTTTTTATGCGCTATTCTATTATCAAATTGACAAAGGTGGAGAAATGTCTTTTAGACCTCTTTCCAAAGGTATTTCCGAAGAGCCAGGTCACTCGATGTACCTCTTCTGGATTTTTTTTATTCTTTCTTTGAATTATTTTACTTTTGTCCACAAATTCAGATTTTACAATAAAATATATATTAATAATATTATATATTATATAACAACCCATTTCCAAAAAATGCATTTTCGGTGTTAAATTATTGGATTTTCCTAGTCATCGTATTTTAGCCGATGGTATTTTTCCAAAGCCAACGACTCTAAAAGAGTTATAAAGATTTTTGGGAATGTTAAACTTCTACCATAGATTCTTATCTAACATTTCAAATATTCTTGATCCCTTATACACACTTTCAAAATCACTTCACTGTCAAAAACAAAAAACAATTTCATCAACTTCTTGGACACTGGAACACGACAACGCTTTTTCTTCAGCCAAAGATCTATCAAAATCTATCTTTCTAGGACATCCTACCCTATAATTGTCAACTGATGCATCTAACACAGGTATGGGAGCTGTTTTAACACAAAAATCTCAACCATTAGCATTCTTTCCCAAAAAATTAACTTCATGCCAAACTATTAGCGATCTACTCTGCTATCAAATTTTTCAAACATTCCTTACATGGAAATCAATTTACGGTATATGCAGATCACAAACCTATTGTCACATCAATTTTTTCGTGCACAGACAAAACTCCTCGTCAAACCCGACATCTAAGTTATATTGCACAATTTACTTCAGATACCAAATACATCAGAGGAAATTGAAATGTTGTTGCAGATACTCTATCCAGAACCAACATCGGATCTCTAAATTCATCTTATCCAGATTTTCTAACTCTTAGCAACGCTCAACTTGCTAACACTAAATTGTCAAACTTACTGAATAAGCAATTTTCTAACAATCCTTCAAAATCTTATCGTTTGGCACATCAAACAACATCACAATCTGATATCAAACTGTGGTGTGAAACCTCATCATCTCCAAGAATTTATATTCCGCAACAGTTCAGACAAGCAATTTTTGACAAAATTTTTTAGCTTAACCATTCATGCAATCAAAACAAGATTCTTTTGGCCACACATGTCAAAGCAAATTCATGTTTGGCCCAAACCTGCTTAAAATGTCAACAAGCAAAAATCCAAAAACATACAAAATCGCCAATCATCTCTGCTTCTAAATATAACCTTATACGTCCGTTTTAATATCAACCCTCTATGTCTATGGAAGCATAGGGCTATCTCTTTGGTTGCAATTGCCTCCTCTAAAGTGCTAATCAAAGCATGGAGAGCAGTAATTGTTGATTTTACTTTCTGGTAAGCATGTTGGTTAGGGTGGACTGGATAAGGTATTGATCGATTACCTTTTCCATCCCTTTGAGGAGAAATGAAGTTAGGCTAATCGGTCTGTATGATAATTAGGTATGAATGTATATAGCTAAGGCTGTAGCTAGCTATATTACTGGGAGTAGGTTAATTAGTTTATAAAAAGTTAATTAATTTATCAGTTAATAAATCTTAAAAGCATGAATTACCTCTAATGTATTTACTTAAACCATTTTAAAAGTGTTCTGATAAAGTTACCTCATATACAGAGAGAATGATAACAAGTGGCTGGCGTCACTTATCGTATATTAACCTAAGACCCGACGTCGCCGCAGTCGCAATATAGATTATAATATCCAGGTCTGGATTAAGTGATGTGTTTTAAATGAGCCAAAAGAAAAATTAGACGTAAAAAATGAATTTAATTTTTATTTCTAAACCACGTCTGACGCAAAATTTACAATCTAAATAACACTTTAATACTTTCATTAGAATGAAATATACAAAAACAACTTTCCCGTAAACATATTTTGTTATTCCGTACAATTGTATTATTTTTCTTTATTATTATACTAAATTAAAAATAATTTTCAAGATGTATCTCGAAGACTTTATTGTTTGTTTCTTGAATCTATTAACAAATTTATTACAAACAAGGCGAAATATTATTAAGCGTAAACTGAATTTCACAATATTGCGACAAATCAAGGAAAAATAAATACCGATTTTATTGGTTGATTTATCCAAGGTTTAGGTTTTCGAAAATAAATTTATTACCGGAAAAAAATCTTGAATGAATAGACCTTGTTTTCTCTTTGCTTTCATCATATCAAAAAATAATCCATCATATCAAATTTTTGTTTATATGAATTAATGACTCAAATTACGGTTGTTATTAATATTTCTGGCTGGGGTCGCGAGTAGAGGACGAATTAGGTAATGAATCTCTTCCATAGGTCAAGCGGCCGATTTAAAATTATTAACTTCCAAATAACTTTGTTACAAATATTCGCAATGAATTAATAATAATTCTAGAATAAAATTTATTATTAAAAAAATTCATTTGATATCACCACAAATTTAATAGATATTTACACTTTATTTTTCTACTGAAATTAATCATACGATTACAAAAAAAGGAAATGTTTGTTTACCGGGATTAATCTAAAAAGTAGATTTATTAAATTTATAAAGTTGTTAGTTGTTATTAAAACAGATACACAAGCAGCATCTTTTATTCAATAACCTAACTAATTTGATTAGAATAAAAATTTTTTTACAGCTAACGATTATTTTAAATATAATAATAATACTAAAATATTATATTTGTTTTAATATAACTTTAAATATTGTTTTCTCAAAAACTAAAAGTAATTTTTCAAAACGGGTTGGTTCATTTATCACTTTTATTAACACTTTGGGAAATTTTCATACTCATATTCCAAGAACTCGATTTTATACGAATTTTTAAAATTTAATCGGCAAAAATTGCAAAATTCGAAAAAATTGTCGATCATTTCAAAAATTAATTTCTCAAAAATTAAAAGCGATTTTTCAAAACGGCTATTTGCATTAAAAAAAGGATACTTTAATTAATACTTGGTGATATTTCCACAAGGATCCTTCAACAAATTAATTTGATAGCGAATTTTGAAAATTATCGCAACATCGAAAATTTTATCAAAACTTCAAATACTGTTTTCTCAAAAACTAAAAGTTATTGTTCAAAACGGGTTGGTTCATTGGAAAGAGGACACTTTTATTAACACTTTCGGAAATTTTCATACTCATATTCCAAGAACTCGATTTAATACGAATTTTTAAAACTTAATCGGCAAAAATTGCAAAATTCCAAAAAATTGTCGATCATTTCAAAAATTAATTTCTCAAAAATTAAAAGCGATTGTTCNTTTTCATTTTTCCTTTTCTTGCGGAATTAATTAGGCTTAAGTAGGTTTAGTAATAGTTTTAGGCCATTATTTTTACTGTTACTTTTAGTTTCTGTTCATTCTTCATCTTAATTTCTTTTTTTTTTCTTTAATCTTCTTAATTTGCAAGGTTCAGTGTAAGAACAGGGAGTGTCATTGGCACTCATCTGAACTGCACCTTGAGGTTCTCCAATGATTAAGTATTTAGTTTTTTAATTAAGTATTTAGTTTTTTGATAAGTTGTATTACATTAACATATGGTTTATTTGTATTATTTTATTGGAGAATAAAGGCGATTATTATTATTATTATTATTATCCTTCAACAAATTAATTTTATAGCGAATTTTGAAAATTATCGCAACATCGAAAACTTCAAATATTGTTTTCTCAAAAACTAAAGGTTATTTTTCAAAACGGGTTAGTTCATTGGAAAGAGGACACTTTTATTAACACTTTGGGAAATTTTCATACTCATATTCCAAGAACTCGATTTAATACGAATTTTTAAAACTTAATAATAATTGGTGATATTTCCACAAAGATTCACTACTACTATAGAGGTTATATAAAAAAAACACAAAATTGGCAAAGAAAATTTTTATTTAGACGCAAATACTGACGAAGTTGATAATAACATTTATAATAGGGATTGCAAACAAGTGGTACGCACGAACGATTCGCGTTTTCTTTTCGCATCGCAAAAATGTACACGTGTTACAGGGATAGGGGGAGAAGTGGCGTCTCTATGACACTTTTAATCATTTTTTTTGTCTGGATTACACGAACAAAGCACCACAGTAACGAAAATTAAAAACTACGCAAAATAAAGAGAAAATTATTTGAAATAGTCAAATGAAGTAGGAAAATTAGGTGTGTAACAAGTCGAAACGGAGACACGTACTCAGGATAACTTAACGTTCGATATATCACTTGGAAATGCCAGACGGCCCTTTACAAAAATACATGTGACACCTTTGCATCGAGTAGTAACGCTTTTTACAGTCAGTGTGAATAATCAGAAAAAAATCTAGCACGTGCAACCGATAAATTAAATTGCAAATCAAATAAGGCTAACCAACATCTTATATTACATTTGTAAAATATTACTTCTGTACATCTAGATACTTTATAATATGTACATAGAAAAATCAAACTATCTATTGTATTTAACAAGAAAAGTAATTTTAACTGAGTGTTTTTTTTTTCTCCCAACATAGTTTCTTATTTTTCTTGATTTTTTTCTTTTGCTGCAATTTATAATATTTTATGGTCTCCAAAAACTGAAGTCGTTTATGGAATCCTAACTCTTTCTCAGTCTTAAATAGTTATAAATATAATCATTAACTATCATCGATCGTTTAGTACGTATCCGATTTTGAATTTCTAGGATTTTTTTTAAGCAAAGCCAAAGCCCTCTGAACATTCGTGGATAGCTTTTAGTAGGTAAGAGCGTAGCTTATCGTACGTTTCGTATACAGGCAAATCCAGTTGATTAAAACTAAAACAAAAATTTTCTTTCAATATAACAAGAAATAATAATTAATTTAGAAATTTACCAAGTGTGAGCGGAAGGTAATCTATCTGTAGATCGATCGTCCCTATGTATTTGAAACTTTTGCACGCCATTCATTCCTTCTAAAGCTCCAAAACCTTGTAGAGGTACTTTAGAAGTACCAGTAACAAATTGTAGGAATTTCGCGCGATCTGCTTGATCAAACGACCTTAAAGCTCTCCAGAACCACTGAATCTACAAAATAAAAATAAATTAAAAAAAAATTATTTAATTTTAAGTTTATTCTTTACCTGTAATGAACTAGCTTGATACTTATGATACTCTGTATTCGTTTTAAGATCTTCAATATCAACGTTAGGTAAACCAGAAATTAATAACTCCAATTCTTGTTCATTAAATATCGAAATTAATCGTTTAGGTATTATATCATAAAAGCCCTCTAAGAAAGCAGTTAACCTTAAATAATAATAAAAAAATAAATATATACCGAAATTAACAAATTTTAAAATCTTACTGTTGCCTTATCGCACCAGTCATTTTCATTTGACACGATCTTCTTACATATTCCATTTTATTTTCTTCATTAACAGAGACGTTTCGGCCGTTAGGAATGAGATCTCTGGTTTCAGTTACTCCAAACTCGTTAATTTCAGTGCTGAACGTAAGATCGCAACCTAAATCGTTTATATTGTTCTCCATCAAGTACACAAGACCCCTATAAAAGCTGTAATCTTCGCTCTCCATGTCCGTGTATTTCACGGGAATACCAAGAATGTGTTTGTAAAATGACCGCGTGAAGTAACATTCCAATAGTTTATTGTCGTAAATTGCTTTTGCTAATAATAAAAATAATTTAATTAGATTTTTTGATACACGTAAATTTGTTGGAAATAATTCACCCTATATAATTTGAACGCGTGAAGATAAATCAAATAATATTTGCGGAGAATAAAGGTTTACTGAAGACGAGTTTCTCTGTCGCGGCATTATTGACTGCGTCATTCGAAAAAATTCTCGATCATTTCAAAAAGTTATTCAAAAAGTACAGAGAGGCATCAAAAATGCTTATTGAAAAGAATTTGTCCTGATCAATTTATGTAAATAAGCAAACCAGAAATGTGATCGCTAAAAAGATGCATAAAAGCTGTGATGTTAATGATATCAAAGATGATCTATTGGAGCGCAAGTATAACATTTGTAAAGTAACCTAAATGTTAAAATACAAAACAAAAGAGCCTCTTTGCACCGTCAGAGGATGTAAAAAGAATCCATGAAACAACAAACATATTAGGAATGCGTGTCAAAATCGAATAGACAGTAAATTAACATCAAAACACATGAAATGCTACTGATAATTACAGTATTAATTATAATATATATATAATTAATACCACACGACAAAATTTTTTAACACCAAAACCTAAATTTAATATTTCTCCTAAATATATTAGAGACAAAATTGCAGAAAAACGGAAAGCAAGAAAAAAACGGCAAATCAATAGAATTAATGTATAATATAATATTCAAAATTACTTAAAAGACCTTACTAACGATGCCAGTACTGATTATTCTCCGTGGAAGGCAACAAGAAAGCTTAAAGTTCCAAAAACACATACACCTCCAATTCGAAATAATAATGGAAGTTGGGCTAAGAGCAATCAAGAAAAAGTTAATTTGTTTGCTGGACATCTGAAAGAAACTGTTGCATCAGAGAGTCTAACAACTATGCTAAATAGTGTCGAAATTCAGTCGAAATTCGATAAATACATATTATAAAATCAAGGATTAATAAACATTAATTTTGTTAAAAAAATGTATGTACATAGTAATAATACTAGTACTATTTTTAGTAAATTTATTTTCTCGAAAAAATATATATATTCCACATCCAGATCGGTTTTTACGACAGTCATAAATAAAAGCCCGGGTGATTATTGCCCGCTCGAGTACCTGAAAAGATTTATGACAGTCATACAAGGACAGGGTAGAACTTAAATTTTTTTAAACTAAAATTTAATTATAAAAACTAGTATAAAAGTCTTGGAAAAAAATATTAAAATATTTTAAATAGAATAACAAAATTTTAAAGAATCTAATTATTCTCCGCCCGCTTTTGTAAGTAGACAATACACTTAATATTAAAAGCACAACAAATAAGAGAATAATGAGTATTTATATATGACCCTACTATTTTTCTACAATTTGTCAGTAAAGTGTATTCCTTAATGCCGCCCTGAGTGAGGAAACCCAACATTCTACAATGGACTACCTGTTGCAACCCCATCTTTGTTCGTTTTTAGTCATAACAACTGATCGCCATGTGGAAGACTATACATAATAGTTATTTATGTTACAAGTGGACTAGAAACATAATTACTGTATAGTTTCCGATATTTCTGGTGGTTTTTATGACTTAATTGCAGTCATATAACGAGCAAAGATGGGGTTGTATACAGGTAGTTTACGAACCCCAAATTCTGGCGTGAGTTGTTCAGGTCCACATTAACGAAAATTTCAATAACATAATATTTAAAAACTTAAATATCATTACTTTGTGTGAAAATACAATAATTTACTTAAATCTATCTAAAAAGTACATTTGCTTAAATAATTTATGATTATCATTATATAATTTATTGTCTTTTCACACTAATTCTAAGATAAAAATATATGTTTTAATTTTTATATTATTAATTAACACTTACTTTTTTTTTGTAAAATCATTTATGTATGTGTAAGTAAATTTATAGTCTTTACTACATTTCTGTTTTATTTTGTTGAATTTAAAATAAAATAAAAAAAGAAGTGCGTCTCTGGACCTAGTTCGCTAGGAGGACCTATCATAAATCACGCCCAGGTACTTTTTCGGGGTAATAATTACTGCCACTACTGTTTCTGAGGGTCATAAAAACCACCAGAAATATCGGAAACTATACGAGTGTGGAGAATTACACGACGAGGTCGTAGACCGACTCGTATAATCACACGAGCCCACGTGTGATATACAACATTATATTTATTTCGTTAAAAAGGTTTATTTTGACATTTATAAAAATATTTTGAAATGATTGTTGACAATTTTGAATTAATGTCAGTTTCAATAACATGTTTACTCATCTGGAATAAGTGTTTCGAAATGTAAAAACATAACAATTAATGTTTATAATAAATAGTATTTTCTCTCGCTCGTTTCAATAAATTAAGTCTGTTCTGATTGGGCTAAAATTGCGTTACGTAATGAAACCAGTGTAATGAACTTCATTATGTAACTCAAATCACCTCAAATAAGTGTGGTAATGAAGACTTATTCAAGCAGTTGTAGATAAATAATATTAAAACGTATATTATTACGTCGGTTCTGACGGCTTTATAGAATCTAAAACAGTTGACTGACGAATGAAGAATAAAAAAAAGCTTGTCGAAAAAATTTTTGTCGCGCCTCGATGGTGCGGCGCAAAAACTAAATATAAAGAAATCAGTAGGTTATAACCTAATTAATGGACAAACATTGAAACATTTACCAAAACGGGCGGCTACAAAACTATTGCACATAATTAATGCTGCTTTTAAACAGAAATACTTCCCAAGCATATGGAAAGTTGCTGAAATAGTAATGATACCAAAACCTGGTAAACCTTCCACAGATGTTACATCATATAGGCCTATGAAGATGTTGACACCAAGAAGAGAATTAATGAGCTTAATAAAAGTATTCACAAGTTAATATGGCAATTCAGATCTTCCAGATTTATTGAAGCTTGTAATAATATTAATCAAAATAAGGGAAAATCTTTCTGGAATGAAGTCAAAAAACTATCAAAATACAAAAAAACATCCAGCTCGTATATTGCATTTTTTCATTGAAAAAAAGACTGGAACCTACACACACCTTCTGGTTATCGTCCTATAACGTTGCTTCCTGTCATTGGGAAAATGTTTGAAAATCTTATTAAAAAACGACTGGCTAATGTATATTGCAGATAAAATTCCACATCATCAATATGAATTTAGATCAGGGAAATCGACTATACATCCACTAGCTATTCTTACTACAAATCTACACACTTGTCGCTTGCAGCAAATAAAATCAGCAGCTCTTTTTCTAGACATACAAAAAGCGTTTGACTCAGTGTGGCATAATGGTCTGATTTACAAATTAAACGTTCCACCTGACTTACTTAAATTACTGTCAAATTTTTTAAAAGATCGTCCTTTCCTCAGGGTTCGCCGCTCTCACCAATACTATACAATGCTTTTGCATATGACATGATGGAAATTTCCGCGCTGTCTACCGATTTATATATGCTGCAATATGCCGACGACACTGCACTAATAGCGCATGGAAAGAAACTTGAAACAGCCATAGTAACATTACAAGAACTAACAAAATGGTGCTCTTCCTGGAGAGTTAACATAAACGCTTCAAAAACACAATTTCTAATACCATTCCACAGGACAACAGATAATTCTCCAACAGTATACATCAGACAGACGCAAATCAGTCCTGCAGCGAACATCAAATACCTGGGTATAATCTTTGACAGCAAAGTGAAGTTCCACAAAAAAGGCTAAAATGAAAGCAATCACCAGAGCAGAGCTGTTTAGAAGTTTAACCTACAAGAAAGAAGGCATTAACATCAAATGCGCTGCGCATATTTATAAGACTATTTGTAGACCAATTGTAGAGTATGCAAGCCTACTGACCCATGATAGTAAGCGATGCATACTAAGGAGTTTGGAAGTTGGTGAAAGAACAAGTCTCCGAGCAGTAACGAAAATGAGACACCCGAACAATCCATTGCACAACATCGCAAATAAAACACTATATGAAAAAACCGAAATAAAGCCTTTGACTTTTAATTTTAGCAAACAAATCTAAGAGCAAGGCTGAAGGCTGAAGAAATGTCATCCCTAATTATACAGTCAGAATTCGACACTATTTACAAAAGGATTGTGACAGGATAACAATATGTAGCTGATAAAATTTTAATCGATATTGCTTTTAATTGTCTTAGCAATGGAAGAAAATAAAGTCTGCTCCGCCTTATTTCTGGATGTTGCACAAGCTTTCGACAAAGTCTGATTAGATGGTTTATATTACAAACTAGACCAAATACTACCATCAACATATAGTCAACTATTAAAATCGTATCTTTCTGATCGATATTTTAGAGTAAAATACGAAAACGCTTATTCACCATTACATGAAATACGAACCGGAGTTCCTCAAGGAAGTGTGCTTGGCCCAACACTGTACTTACTCTACAGTATGTCCCCGGATCGAGTTACAAAGAGGAAAAAAATGTATTACTGATTTTTCAAACTTTTTCTGCATAAATAATACGTCGGATATGTTCAAACCACTAAATCGCACGAACTTTATATTCCAACTATAGAAGTTAACTAATTATTCCTATTTGTATGTAAAAATTAGACTTTTTCTAAATTAAAATTTTTTTAAGTTCAATTTATGATATGTAACCATAGAAACCATAAAAGTTATTGAAAAATATACTTGGCTAATTGAATAAAATATTTTAAATGTAAATTTATGTAATAACACACTGTAAGTAATAAATAATATTTATTTGCAAGTGAACAAATGTTCAACAACTGTTCATTCAAGCAAACACCTCCTAATTTGGCACTCATTTGAAGACGAGTTCTAAATTCTATCGCATTAATTATTCTTACTTGTAATAGTTCTGCATCGTCTTGTAGTGGTTCACTGTAAACAATTTGTTACAATTGTAACCAAAACTAAAAATCAATAATTGTAAGATCAGGACTACATGTTGGCCATCAAATAGGATCATTTCGTCCAATCCATTTTTGACGAAATTGTAAATTTAATTGTGAATGGTAAGATGGGCAACTGTCTTGCTGAAAGTACATTGACCATATAAAATTTAAGGGTAATTGGATTTACATCACTCCAATAACGATAATGCTGGGAAGAAACAATGTCATTTGTTGAAAAGATGCTTTCATCCGAAAATACCATAAATTTATGAAGATTTCGTTTATTTAATATTTTATTACCAATCTCAAGACAGAAATCCAAACGTTTGGCATCATCGCCGACATCCAAAGTCTGTCTAAATCGTGGTCTAAATGGTTTAATTTTATTTTTTTTGTAAATTCTGGATTTATGGATGTTCTTCGAAGTGATAATTTTGGAGTTTCTTGAACGGAATTTAATGCTATTAGAGAAGCAGCGTCTTCCTCATTTAGTCTCTTTGTCTGCTTCTTTATGATTAATAAAGAATCCGTTTCCAAAATTTTTTTTTATAAGTTTGCGAGTTCCAACATGAGATTCTTGTATCCGGATATTTTTGCTGGAATTTTTGTATAACTACACGAAAACATGATTCACCAGTACCATAGCACTGTACTAAATTAATTTTCTCTTTCACGGTTAACATCGCATGAAAACACTTAATCTCACTAACATAAGTTGTAACTTTTATGGTTTCATATCATAAATTGAACTTGCATCATTTGCAAACATGAGAAGAAACATGAGAAGAGGATGAAGCCGCCCTAGTCGATTCAAACGCGAGCAATAGTGCGGAATTATAACAAAAACAATAATACCCTAAACATGTGTTCCGCGTATGGCAGTTTGTGTGTTTTTGTGTTTTGGTCTTAAAACAGTAAAAATATGACAATATTTATCTATATTATGGGTAAAGCAAACTGGACCACTGAGAAAAGCTGCAAAACATTATCTAATTTAATTTGGTGTTAAAAATAAGTAACTAATTAGTATTTACTAGGTGTTATACAATTGTGCTATGCATAATATAGAAAAAAAATTGCATTAGACACACGCGTTCAGATTATACAGGGTGTACTCGTGAATTATTTCCAACAGTATATTTAAAATTTTTTTCTTACCAATTACGCGTCCAACGAATTTGTAGTAACACAAATGATTTGGGTTGTAATGACTAGCGGAGTTTATCATGTATGTAACGCGATCTCCAGGAGAAACGGTGAACAGCGCATACATTGGATTAAAAATGTCGCGCGATATTATCATATACCACTCTCTAAGTAGCCCACCTGCATCTTGGCCTTCCTCATCTACATAAAAACCATAAATAAAATTTAATACTTTTAATATAAAAAAAAAATACCTTCAAAGACAATATAGAATCTATTTTTCCATTCCTCTGGCGTCCTCCTATACAATTCCCTAAATGAATCTTCAAACACGTGCTCTCTTCTAACGTGCACGGCAGTTTCTTCTCTTCTTAAATTTTGATCGAGCCTCTCCAACTCAGTTCTAAAATATCTCCTTTTAATATCAAAGTCTAAAACTCTAGTGTGATCGACTAAAACAGAAAATGGTCCATCCGCTAAATGCGCGGTTGTTTGTCGTAAGATTTGATTAAGAACTGTGCGATGTTTTTCAGCGAAATTTAAGAATTTTTGTTGGTCCGCTGGAACGCTAACTGCTCTGTTAGCTTGACCGTTGTTATCTTGGGTGTTTACTTCTTGACTGCTGCCCTGCGTTGATGTTTCAGGGGAGTCTTGTACAGGATCAACGACGGGTGCGGTTGATAATCTGGATTGTTCTGAAGTAACAAGAGCCTCTTGTATTGGCGAGTGAACCAAAAAGAAGGCTTCCACGGCAGGTTGTAGCACTAACACGGCGTGATGATCTGGAGTGTGCTCCAATTCAAGAAGACATTGGCTTAAAGTGTTCCATAAATTTTCTAATTCATCTAATTGATCGCTTAAATGATGCAATGGCGGTTGCGATGGTTTTTCTTCTTTCTCTAACGATTTTTTAATGGCATCGCGGATCTGAACGATTACTCTAAGAACGCGCAAAAAGAATATTTGGCTTGATGATTTCGAAGTTAATGGTATCATTGAGGGGAGTTGTAAATCACAAGAAGTTTTTACTTTGGTTGAGGCAGTTATAACGACGGTTTCTTTTGTAAATCGGTTGTTTACCACGCCTTTCGAGGTGGTTGGATTGACGTCTTCTTGCGACTTTTTATGCTCGTTGTTTAAATGAACGTTCTTTAAGTCAACAAGCATCGCTTGAATTTGGGTCCGAACGATTTCGCCGATTCGCAAAGCTCCTTTCAATAATAAATTTAATATGGTGAAGCTCATATCTACAGAGCAATTAGATAAGTTTAGGAGTAATGTTGTTACTTCTTCTAATCCTTCTTCGGAGCAACTTTTGTATGTTAGTACGTTTACGGCTAAGTTGAGGGCGACTTCGGGGGCGGAAACGCTTTCGAAATTTTGCCAACTAATTCGATTTGATCTTGGAGAGTCGGAACTTTTGGCCAATTCGGGCATTCCGGTTGAAATAACGGAGAGGAGTCTTAATAATTTATCGGTGAGGGGGATACTAGCTTGAATAACGGGTGAGGATAACATAATTAATAATTGGCCAAAGGCGGACTGTTCGAAACTAAGGGCAGTGTTTTCGGTTTCGGAATTCAAATTTAAATTGCTGTGGGTTTTTGCTAAACTCTTTCCTTTTTTGGTACTAGCGGCGTCCAATTTTAAAAGCATGTCCCAGAAATCGGTTGATTCATTTTTCGATTTTATCGGCGCGGGAGTTTTTGTTTTGTCTTTTGCTTTTAATGGTAATAAGAACGTCGGGAAGCTTCTAGAGAGCGAAGTGAAGAGATCCAATGCGTGTTTACAAACGATCGGTGCCGCTTGGGGGTGAATCGATATGGTAACGTTGTTTCGTTTTCCCGTTGCTCTATTTACAATAAAAACGTTCGCGTGGCATCCTAAGGCGGCCTCCATTCTGATGTTTAACCAATTGGCGCCGTTTCCCATATTTTTCGAATCGGTGAGTAATTTCGAAGTGAGTGGTCCGGGTCTTGGGAGTCGTTTTGGTTTATTTAAGCTTTCGTCGGGTTTGACGTGGACGCTCCTATCGATAATCGACAAAAGAGCTTTAACAACCCAATCTCTCGTTGGAATATGGTAACACAAATTTCTTATCACTCTGTGTAATCGCCCCGTATTTAACTTTGGGTCATCGACGAAAAGTAAAACTAACAAACAAGAAAGTGATTCATGATCGAGAAGCTGTCTACCTCGTATTTTTATATTTCCAGCTGTACTACTCTGCGGCAACGTATCGCCTCTAGAAGCCCAATTCCAATGTTGTCTATGAGGTAGTAAAGATGTGAATCGCGTTCTTCCCCCGCGCGCCGAGTGGCGTATTATAGTAGTTAAATTGCTATGGAAAAATCTTTCTTGGACGATCTGTCGATTTCGAGCCTCCCAATCTCGGCGTAACGTTTGCGCTTCAGCTGCCAAATCGGGTGGTAAAACCGACATTTGAGACTCCTCCATATCTGACAAAATCATGGTGCGCAACGACGGTTGTAAAGTCTCAAAAAATGCGCCCGCATCGACTGGTTCATCGGGATTCGCGTGAGCCGCTGCTTGTCGTTGTTGTTCTAATCTCTGTTGCGTTAAAACTTCTTCTTGTAACGACGGTGGTAAAGCAGCTAAAAATTCGGGGCTCACTTCGTTTGAGCCACTTGCTGTCGCTTGATCCGACGTAGAAGCGGTTGTTGTTGATGACATCCTTTGTTGCAATCTCAACAACCTATGTTGTTCTAAAACTTCACGTCTCATTTCCGGCGGAAGCGCATCCAAGAAAGACGGATCAACACCTTCGGGAATATCTTCATTCACCTCCGAATTTCTTGCATTATCGCTGGCTCCGGTTTGTTCTTGACTGGTCGAAGCTTGATCACCGCTGCTTGATTGCGATGATGAACCTTCTTCGTTATTTTGAGGTGCCGCTGATTGCTGTTGAGGGATTTGACTATCCATTTGCCTCAACAAATCAGCAGATGATTCCGTTGACCCAACACTTAATGGCAGATGATAATGGAACAAAGGTCTTAAAAGGCTGGGCGTATTAAACGGATAAGTTCTTTGATAAACGTTTGAGAATAAATTTGATGTCCCACTTTGAGTGTCAACACTTTCGTCTTCAGCATCTTCCTCTTGATGTTCTTCAGAAGGCTCATCGCGTTGTTCTTGAGCTTCTTCTGTACGCGATGGATCCACATCCAGAGGTGAAGGTAGAGGTGGTAAATTTGGTAAACTCAAAGATGATGAATCTGATTGGGATGTTCCATCTTCATAATCAAATAAAAAAAATAACATAAAATAAATTTTATATACAGGGAGTGTGACATCATATACAGGGTGTATCAAATGTATGGAATATAACCATAAAGAAAAATGTTTCAAATAAAAAATTCTTTATTAATTGTGGCGCATATTTTGATGGAGGATAAATCAATCTACGCGATGAACATATCAAATCATATGGTTGTACAAGAAAAAAATCGAAAAAAAATGTCAACATATATTTTATTACATACAGTGAAATTCCCCTAACTCGAACTTCTATATCTCGAATTATCCTCTAAGTCGAATAATTTTCAAATGTGTTTTTATCTCTCTAAGTCGAATTTCCCTAACTCGAACTGAACTACTATAATATAAAATATTCGAACCGCTCTGTAAGTAATTTTAACTACAGAATGAAACCACATAGACTCTGGCTCAGAAACTACAGACTCTTAAACCAAAACAAACCTAATGTCCTTATTGTTTCAGAATCAGATGAGGGTGATGATAATCTTGAAAAGGAAATACTTATCGCTGTGCCTACATTTGATGAAGCTTATTCCTCTCTTAGAAAGCTTGTAACCTTTGTATTATTAAGAGATAATATTCATAATTCTTTACATTTAATAGAAGATTTTTTCGACAAAGAGTCCACTTTAAGCCAAAAGATAATTACGGATTACTTTAAAAAACTTGATTAATTTTCTACTTACAATAGTATTAAGCTTTTTGCTTTAAATATACGTATTAGAAAAGTACATTTCTAATTTTTTTCTTGAGCTGAAATTCTACTAATTTTTCTCTAACTCGAATTCTCCATAACTCGAAGTTTTCTTCCGCTACCTTAGTGATTCGAGTTAGGGGAATTTCACTGTATTTTTCTTTAAATTCTAAATATCAGGAAAACTATTAAAGTTAGACATATGACATATCTATAATTAATTAAAGGGAACTTGATGGGCAATTCATCCAGCGCACAATATACGGGGTGTTCCATTTAAAAAACTGAAGAAAAAGCCATTTGAAAAACATCAAAAGTAACTAAACTTTATAAACACGCTGTATAGTGTATCTAATATCGTATCTAATATTTTTGAATACTATCATCTACTTACTGGCTTTGACTATTATCCGACATAGTTTCAAGACAAAATCAGCAAAAATGTCGTTTTTGACATATTTTATTACACTTTTTTCTTTAAATTCTAAATATCAGGAAAACTATTAAAGTTAGGCATATGACATATCTATAATTAATTAAAGGGAACTTGATGGGCAATTCAACCAGCACACAATATACAGGTTGTTCCATTTAAAAAACTTAAGAAAAAGCCATTTGAAAAACATCAAAAATAACTAAGATTTGTAAACACTCTGTATAGTGTATCTAATATGTTTGAATACTATCATCTACCTAGTGGCTTTGACTATTATCTGACATAGTTTCAAGACAAAATCAGCAAAAATGTCGTTTTTGACATATTTTATTACACTTTTTTCTTTAAATTCTAAATATGAGGAAAACTATTAAAGTTAGGCATATGACATACCTATCATTAATTAAAGAGAACTTGATGAGCAATTCAACTAGCACACAATATACAGAGTGTTCCATTTAAAAAAGTTAAGAAAAAGCCATTTGAAAAACATCAAAAGTAACTAAGCTTTATAAACACGCTGTATAGTGTATCTTATATTTTTGGATACTATCATCTATACTCGTGATCTTTTTAAATGAAAATTAAAGAAGGATGGCTAGCTCGAAGTCGGGGAAGTTCGGGTTGGTTTACTTTGAAACCCTGCGCAAGGCTAAGGGGCCGGAGTAATCACGACGGCCAAAGCAGGTAGAGAAGGAGTAATTTAGAATTTGTCACTACGGGATTTTTAAATAGGTTTATTGTAATAGAAACCAGCTAAATATTCGATTAAATTATCGAAAATAGCATAATAAATTATTTAATGTATTATGTTTTATTAAAAAATGATTTTTGCAAAACAAATAAAAATTGTTCCTAATTTAAATCAATTTTATGATGATAACTATTAAAATATAAATACAGAAAAAATATTAAATAATAATATTATTACAGTAAAACTTAATTTACATGATTTTCGAACAATTGATTCGATTGTATTGATTGTGCAGTTTCAATTATTTAATGTGTTTCAATTATTGTTTCTAATTTAAATCAATTTCATGATGATAATATATTAAGATATTAATACTGATTAATTATTAATATTATTACAGTGTGATTCAAAACTTCTTTTATCAAAAGTTAAAAAACATAGAATGTTTTGTCACTAAAATCTTAAATAATTTTACTAAATATTAAGCTTCTGCAGATGATTTTACGTGAGTATAGAAGATTTGGCAGGATTTTGAACAGTTTTTGACGGTTTGATCTTCAACCATTTTAGATAGTTTCTAAATGATTTTACTATATTTTAATTGATTTTGAGCCGCTGTAAACTGATTTACAAGATTTTTAAACGATGTAAGATGGTCTTGAACAATTTGGGTAGATTTTTAATATTCATTTTAAACGTTTTAATTGTTAACGATTCATTTAAATAGCATTTTTTTGAGTTGATTTAATTTGGGCTATATAAGGTAAATTATTCTCAAAAGCAAATGGGAAAAGAAGCTTCTTTTCGACTTCAAATTGGATTTTATGGTTTCAGATTCACCATTTACTGGTGAATGGTCCTCTATTATCATCATAAAACTTATTTATGAAATTAATGAATTCTTGTATTGACAAGGAGGTTTACCATTAATAGAAACAATTAACTGCGCACAATCAATACAATCGAATCAATTGTTCGAAAATCATGTAAATTAAGTTTTACTGTAATAATATTATTATTTAATATTTTTTCTGTTTATATTTTAATAGTTATCATCATAAAATTGATTTAAATTAGGAACAATTTTTATTTGTTTTCCAAAAATCATTTTTTAATAAAACATAATACATTAAATAATTTATTATGCTATTTTCGATAATGTAATCGAATATTTAGCTGGTTTCTATTACAATAAACCTATTTAAAAATCCCGTAGTGACAAATTCTAAATTACTCTTTCTCTACCTGCTTTGGCCGTCGTGATTACTCCGGCCCCTTAGCCTTGCGCAGGGTTTCAAAGTAAACCAACCCGACCGTCCCCGACTCCGAGCTAGCCATCCTTCTCTAATTTTCATTTAAAAAGATCACGAGTATACCTACTGGCTTTGACTATTATCTGACGTAGTTTCAAGGGAAAATCGGAAAAAGTGTCGTTTTTACATCGTTTTCAAAAAGATCCTGTAATAGGCACATTTTGGAAGAACAATTAAATATCTTAGGAACTATGAACGCTGTGAAATAGTAATATATACGGTTGTATAAACAAATTTAGATGTATTCATAATATGATCAAATATATGGGGTGTTCCATTAAAAAAAAATTACGTATTTCGTTACGCTTAAATGGAACATCCTGTATAAGTGAAAATAATTTTACGTAATAGAAAGTGTTGAGTCAAACAACTTTTGTATAAAATATTTTTTTGTTTTTCAAACGGTTTAGTAATTATCGACCGCCGAGATACTAATAAATCACCCCGTATATACAGGGTGATTCAAAAAACCGCTGAAAGACTTCTAGAGTAGATAATACATGAAAAATTAAGATGAATAGTCTTAATATACATGGGGTCGCAAATGCCTCCTTAACGAGATATAGCGGGTCAAAGTTTCTTTAAAATTTAACATTACCATTTTTTAAGAAAAACACGTTTGTAGAAAATTTGTTAATCTAATCAAAAACTGTTGCTTTAATCAAAGTTTTGTAAGAGATCAATTGGTAAATAATTAATCATTTTACACGAAAATACTACCCGTTTGACAAAATTAGCAGTGGCGTTGAAAATATTTTTAAAAAAGGGCTTTTTATTACCAGCCCTAGAAGTCTGTCAGCGGTTTTTTGAATCAGCCTGTATAATGTTTCCAGAAAATGCATTCTTTCTCGATTTTTTTTATACATCCATATGATTTGATATCACATATCACATCAAAATTTGCAAAAAAAAACATATGCATCCCATTTAAAATAACAATGTTGGTTGCCATAGGAACGAAACTAAAAAATGCGCCACGATTAATAAAGAAACGTATTTGAAACATTTTTCTTAGAATAGCGAAGATATGGCCAATCACTATATTTCAGAGATTTGACACCCTGTATAAGTCAAGGTGAGGATTACTTCGTTACCTACCTAAAGAGTTAACGACTCGAATTAATTGTTGTTCCAATTGATTCTCTGAAGAAATGGATGCCATTGGTGTTGACGTATTTGCAATATTAAATCTGGGATCGTCGATTGGTACCACGCCATCAATTTCTTCGTCCGAATCTACCATTATATTTGTAGTTTAAAAAAATTAAAGTAAAAAAAAAAACTTACCATAAATTGTATTTTCCATGTTATCTGTACGATTTTCAGTATTTCCCGTTCCTACGGTGGTTGTATTTCCGCTGCTTGGTTCTTGAGCGTCGTCTTCAACTTGTCGCCGACTTTCGACGGGTTTAAACTTTTGTTTGGTTTTTTCTTCCAATTCGGATTTACGTTTTCTTTCTTGCATTTCCAAACACTTATGTTTTAGCAATGTTGGAACTAATCTATTACATATGTAAGTAACTATGTCGTGCATAGATTCGCCGTCGATAAATCGCGACTCCTCCTTCCACCAATGTAACGCCACGGGAATATGATTAATCGTCGCCATCATACTTGGCCCAAACAAATATCCTTGATCGACAAAATCGATTTGTTCCTCAACTGATGGGAATATTCCAAAATTATCCATTACGACAACTCTGGCGGAATCGCGTAATCCGGGCGAATTAAGCATTTGGTTCGAACTCAAATGGATATTTTGGGCGGCGGGGCCAAGTAATCTTTGTAAAATAACGGGGGGTTGAGCTCCACGCGTTCCTAATTGTAAATATTGATAGCGTCTTGTTCTATTCGCTCGTTGAGTACGGGATGCAGTTGGCGCGTTAGCATCGGCGTTGTGACGTGAAACTAATAAAGGATGAGTTGTTGGTGCTGAAACAAAATTATGAGAAAAACACTGTGAATAAAATAAAAATTTAAAAAATACCGGATTGGTCACTTGTATTAGTAGCCTCTTCAAACAACGGAATCGCGAATCCATTATCGTCGTAGCGTATTAACCCAATAGATTCGTCTCTATCATCCGGACAACGAACCATCACCAAGTTTCCATCTCGATCTACATTAGGGACTAGAAATTTTAATAAAATAGTAAAAAACTTTGTTATAAAAATTAATATTTACTATTTTCGAAGTCGTCGTAATTGTTGTCTTCGTCGTCTTCATCCCCTTCATCGATATCTTCATCCTCATCATCATCGTCGTCGTTATCGTCGCCATCCCCATCGCCGTCCTCTACTTCATTATCTTCATCGTTTTCATCGTCATCCACTTCGTCTTCTGATTCACCCGAATCGGTACTCATTAATTCTTCCTAAATTTCAAAAAAAAAAAAAAAAAATTGTAGAGATTTATTTGAAGTTATTTTTTTATTAATGAACAAACCGTCGCATCTCTTTCATGCTCAAATCCCATGTTGGTATCATCATCAAGATCCATTGTAGTATCAAGAGCTACGTTGGGACCGCGTTCTAAAAGACGTTCCATTATATCATCGAGAACATTAGCATCCATTGCGTTTGATGAAATGGGGTTCCCTTCTAAACTAGAAGCTACATCGTGTTCTGTGTTTTCAGTATCTTCTACTGTTTCTTCGCCCTGTGCGTTTGTTGCTTCGGTGGAAGTGGTTCCGCTATGCGTAGTGCCATTATCGTCTATGTTAATTCTGGGGCGTTTCTTAATATTTCCAGTGACGTTTCCAGTAATTGGTTGATTAACGATTTTTGATAAACACTCCATGGGTTTTAAAGCGGAATTAATAGTGTTTGGGAAATTTGGGCTGGACATATCCAAACAATACGGAACACGAGCAAGATCGTTAAATATCCCTTTACGCAACATTAAACGCGCGATGTTATTTACGTTCGCGTTAAACGTTTGGGCTTTGAAAATTCGAACTTGTTGAACTGGCGGGCATTGTTCTATCATGTTGAGTATCATGGTGGTGATATGTTGAATGCGTTTGTGTTTTTCTGTAGATTCGGTGAGAAGCAATGCTCGGATTAGAGCTGCTTTTACTTCGGTGACCAAAGCGGACTGAGCGTCAGGCGAATGGTTACAAGATGCGATACCAGAGATTAAGTTTTTGCACATAATGGAACAATCGCGGTCGGAGACTTCTTCAACTATAGGCAATATTTTATCGAATAAGAATGCCAAACAAGTACATTCCTCGGTAACGTGTTCTCCACTTTTAGCTTTGTAAGAGTATTCGGTGATTATTTTGGCCACCCCGGCGTAAGACACGACTGCGTCAGCCAATATTTTTAATATATTGTGCTTTGCTAGAATTTGACGACTGCGAAGAGATTCGGTATTTTTTGGGTCCAAGTTCATTTCGCTTGCTGCGTGAAATAATCGAACGCGCGGAAATTCCTCTGGTCCATCAATATTTAACACGTCGCTGTTTCCCGCGTTGCTGTTTAATAACAATGTTGCACGTTGCGACATGGATTCTCGAGTACTCGATTTATTTTGTGCGTTCGGCGGTTGGCGGCTATCAAAACTTTCGTCTTCCGTTGAAGATGTTGAGTTATCAATCGGTAAAATCAATGCGTTTAGAAGTTCGTAAATCACGTCTATTGATTCTTGCTCTTTTATTTGCGGAGCTTGAGTCCGATTTGAAGGCTCGGTTTTCATCGGCATGCGGCTATCCGCTTCTTCCGATCGTCTAAAACTGCTAATATCGATTCGCAGAGTATTTTTAGCAACCTCAAGGAAACGCTCTGGATCTCTAGATACGGCGCTTCCCAAAGAACGAAGCATAAACATTAATTCTTTGTAAGGCGGTGGGGTGGATGGTAACGTACGTCCTCTCATTACTTTTTCCATGGCGTAGGCAAGAGTTGAGGGGCCTTCAAGTGTGTGGCGAATTAAGAGTGTGGCTAGAGTACGAAAGCCGACGAAAGCCATGTTTTCTTTTAGTTGTAATAATCTGGTGATCCCGCCTTCAACGACAAACTCTTTGGCGAGGTCGAATTCTTGGGTTAAACGCAAGCACAAACGCATAATTGCGTGTAAAGTGTCTTTATCGATGTTGGCGTTTATTAATTTGACGCAACATCTAACGATTTCAAAAGAATGAACCCGGCAGAATCCGGCAATTGGTACGCAACGTTTTGCTTCTTTTTCAGTTAGGGTTACTTCGGCGTGTTCTTTGGTTTCATAAAATTCCGGGTTGCCATCGGAACATCGATCTAAAGTTAAATTTATCGGGGTCATACAAATCGGCCGATTGTTACTGCTTTCCTCGTTGATTTGCTGCATATTCGTGAAACTTATTGTGTACCTACGACGCCCACATGTAATTCTTGTTGATTGTTCCCCGTTCCAATAGGCTTCATTAATTATTTTATTATTCGCAGGGGAATAAGTTTGCCATTTCCCTGAGAGAACGTCGTACCATTTCCATAACCGCTTTGTAACGCAGTGCATTCTATTTTTGCGTCGAGTGCTTACCGCAACTTTTCCTAAACAATCCAATAATAAAATGACGGGTGTAAGCCATTTGGGTACAGTAACGTTTTGATTAGATCTTAATGCCCTTTCGGCGACTCCCATAAGTTTTACGAAGTGGGGTATTAAACCAGATTCGAAGATGGCCAATCCGCAGGCGCCTTTCATGTCGAAATAAGGAGGTACTTCGAAGAACAACGTAAGCAAGTGAGTGTAATGCGCCAAACGAAGACTGTTGAAAGATTCGACAAACAGATCTGGACTTTCGAGACGTTCCGCTTCATCGATGGCGGCTTCGTATTTTGCATAAATGACTCGTAACATTTCGCAAAAATCTTTGAGTAGTTGATCGCGAAATTCGGAACCTTTACGTTTCATTATCGTTACGAGTAAGTCGCATACTTTGAAGACGGATTCCGGTATTTCTTCTACTAAGTTTAAGCAAATCTGGAGGGCGCCTTCTGTGAAATTGTCGATTTGTTCTTCAGATAATGGAGTAACGTCATCATCCTCTTTTTTCTTTGTTTCTGTGGATGGCCCGGCTTCTCCCAATGAAATAGCAATTGCTTGGATGACTTGATCATCTTCGGACATATCCAAATCCATGCCGACCGTTCTCTGCCCGCTTAATGGATGCGTTAATAAGTAATCGGTTGCTTGTTCGACGTTCATGGTGTGCATTAGAGCCTCGGTGGCGTGTTCTCTTGTAAAACCCATGTCAATAAGTTGACGAAGACTTTCTTGATTAACGTCGTTTTCTAATCTGTTATTAGTGGCGACTGTTGAGGGAGCCGCGGTTGATGAAGTCTCTACTGATTTATCGTCTTGTTTGTTCAATCGATCCTTAATAATTTTTTCACCCCGCAAAATATGGCGCAAAATGGTCAAAATAGATTCGCTCATGCGTATGCCATAATTTGGGAGAGGCTTCTTTCCCCACAGCAACATGACAGCGTCGAAAGCCAATTTGTGAATTTGTATTAGGTACTTCAATGGATCGAAAGCTACGGATTTGTAAGTACCTTGTGATTTCGTTGTTATAACGTGGGGCGAATCGAGAATTGCTTTTGGATTAACCATTTTTTCCAAAAGTGTTAACCACGCGTCTAAGAATTCTCCCGTACCTTCTGGTAAGTTTGGATGTTCAATGCCTTCTCCCAAAGGAATGGTGTCGCCCGCAGATAAAGCCCAGCGGAAAGTGTTAAAGAACGCGTCTTGGCCGCCAAATCTAACAAATCTTTGTAACATAAGATGATAGGGATATCTTTTTTCGTCGAATAGCATGGGGCTTGTAAATCCTACGCTGCAAATAAGGAAAGTTAATTGGAATTTAGGGACCGGACTTGGAGGTAATCTATCGGAACTTAAGCTATTTGCCAATAATGAATTTAAAGCGGTAGCTACGGATCCTGCGTTTGGGATGGGGAATGATGGAGTGGGTACCATATTCTGTCCTCGGCGTTGACGCATCGGAGATCCAACGCATAATTTGACCAAAAGTCCAAAAAGCTCGGCCAATGCTCTTCCAAGACGTGAAGATGCTCCAAGGAGTGGTTTGATATATCGTAATTGTTCGGTTGTAGGTTTATTTGATGAATGCGATTCGGTGTCAACGTCCATTACCGTGGGGGGATTCGTAGTTAGTGCTTCCATTGCTGAAGCAACATTCCCGGTGCTATCACCGCTTGATTCAGCCCTATCCGCAACCGGTATATTTAACCTTTCCATATCTTCCCTTCCAAAATCGCAATCAGAGGGGATAACATCATCGCTGCATAATGCAAGTAACAACGTGCTTTCCCATACGAGAGCCATATAAAGCTGCTCTAAACAATTCAGCATTTCCAATCCTTTATCTGAACCCCAATGTTGAAGCGACAAAGTTCGTATGTCGTTCTGTCCCGTGCGACAAACGTGTACAAACATGAGAATATAACCGTGGGCGGCACCCATAGCGTGTAAAATTGGCGTAGCAGATTCGGTACTGAACGCAGTTTCTAAATGTGGAGCGTCTGCGAGTTCATTCAAAAGCTTAGAACCGCTGCACAAATCTAAATCGAGATACAAAGGTTCGAGAATGAGGAGGACATCTTCGAGTTGGCTCAACCCTTCTTCTAAAACTTTGGGTTCATGAGCTAAATTTAAAATACTTTTACAAACTGAAGCTACAGCCTGTGCAGAATTTGTAACAGGACAATCAACGGGAAGATTAGGTAGACCTAAAATTCTCAACAATGGCACAAGACCACCTTGATTAACAAATTCTTTACAATGATCGTCCGTTGAATTGTTACTTAAAATAGCATCAATAAATTTGGTAACATTTAATATGTACTCCGTCAAAGCTATCGGAGTTTTTTCACTACAATTCGGTGACTCATGTGTTTCTTGAGTATCCGTTTGCGCGGTTTGAGACGAAGTTGACGCTTCCTCTTCATCATCCTCTTCTTCATCGTCAGAAGATCCTTCCGTGTTGCTGGTAGATCTTTGCGCTGCGGGCGTAGGAGATGTCTCAGTTTTACTGTGAGGCCTCCAACAAATGTATTTTGGATCAGTCCCCAATTGGCATAGTTCGTTAAGTAATTTTATAATCGCGGCCGTCGCGTCCACCTTCAAACTTGGTTGATGACGCATTAATTCATCCATCGCGTTGCCAAGATTCGAAGCAGCATCTCCCATCGGATCTGAACTTCGTCTTTTACGCATAGCGGATAAGTAAGTAGGTGAAAGTAACACCTTGAAAAGTCGCTCGAATGGTTTACATTTAACGAACGACGCCAACCCCCTTGCGTTTAAACAAAGCGCGCTAAATACGTTTGGAAGAGACGCAAGAACCTCGCGGGTTGCAGGAACATCTTTGATTAATAAAGCTTGTAAAACGACGTCTGTTAACCCATTGTCTTGAATGGTGGATAAGAGACTGGGTTCTTGAAAAACGTAGACTGTAACTACATCGGTTGCAAGCAAAAATAAGGAAGGGCCGTAATATTCCGCGTTGGAAATGATGTGTTTTAAAGAATTAGGTAAAGTGCCTTCCATGATGTGTCGAATGTGCTCCGAAAACGTGGAATCTTGTAAAGCTTTTTTTAAGAAATTCAACATACTCTTTAATAAAGCCGCTCTTTGAGGAAGACACGTTTTTCCAGAATTTTCTGGGTTGTATTGAAATTCAAAGTTGGACGGTCCCCCTTCCATTTCGCTACTCTCCGACGTCTCCGCCCTTTCTAAATATTCAGACGTAATGTGTTTAAATTCGTATAAATGTTCTTTTACGCAGAGATTCACTTCGACGTCCAGACGATTTATAAAACTCTGGAGGCCAGCATGAGTATAAAACGCCTGCATGTCAATATTAGTTATTAAATCAATAACACGAACTGCTCTGGTTACAAACGTAATGTGTTCTAACTCCACACCATGCCAATTAATCACTTGAAGCAGAGATTCCATCATACCACAAGACACCAAAGCGTCACCGCCAGCTTCGTAACTCGCTAAATGATATAAAAATGAAAATAGAGCTGTGGCTAACGGCTGAGGAAATTTTCCTTTGTAATCTGAATGTGTGCTAAGATATGGGAAAGCATCATCTTCGGATATTTGAAGCTCTTCTTCGAGTTCTTCAACTTCAGTATTTTCCACAAGCGTCTTATCTTTTGATGCTTCATTTTGATTCGTTGTTAAACACGTAATGCAATGTCTTACCAACACTGGGAGGAATCCGTGGTATTGATTCGCTCCGGTTACGTCTATTATGTTATTAAGTCTCGAACCGGGTTTTCTAAAAAAAATTAATTAATAATCTAAAATTATGTTAAAATAATTATTAATTACTTTGGAAATTCAGGATTTCTGTCTAAATGTATTATAGATGTCAATGTTCTTAAAGCTGCAGAACGTATCTCAACCAAATATGGGAATTTTAACTCAATTAGTTCTACTAATTCTTCCAAAAGTCCGTTGTACAGTAAAGTGTGCGCTGAACCTTGTAAAGCGTTCGCATAAACTAACACCGAAAGGGCTTGTAATCGCGCTTGAACACAAAGCAATCTGTTTCTGTAGTTGGAAAAATGATAAGCTAATCGTAGATGTGTGAATAACAACATCTAAAAATGAATAAGATTTAGATTATGGTTTTAAGAATTACAGGGTGTTTTAAAATACGTTTAAATATTTATAGGGGTAGTACTACAGTCGAAAACAAGTTGAAAAGTCTTAATGAATATATGGGTCCGCAAATCAACCGTTTTCGAGATTTTTTGTGACTCTACCTTTTTTCTTTTAAACTATAACTACTACAGATTCGATATTTGGCAAATCGATACAGTATGAAACTGTCTCTTTTTGAGAGTAGTATGATGTTTAAATTGCTTCCAGTTAGACCGGAAGTGAAAATAAATATCACTATTTTTCAGAAAATTCAAAAATTTTATTTAACAATTGGATAGATTGTTTAATTCTAAACAACATTAATTTGGAAAAAAAATTTGTATTCCTTAAGGTTTCTGATAAAAAATTTTTTTTTTTTAAATATGATACTTTGTTAAATAATTTTTATCCCAAACACTTGATTAATAATACAATACTAAATAATATAGATGGATTGAAAGTCAAAACAAATAATATAACCCCACAAGATGATCAACAAAGGGAAAAGAATACAAATACAGAAAATGTAAAAGGAGATATGAATAAAAAGAATAAACCAACTATTAGATAATCCCTAATTACACAATTCATACCTAGACATACTAATAGAATGTTTCAGAAATTGATCTTAGTACTCGCGGAAATAATAAGAATAAAAGCACTCAAAATAATAAAGAATTTTGTAAAATTAAATTTATACCATTAACAAATAAAGTAACGAATGTTTTAACGAATGTAACAACAAAATTGGCACCTTAATATCAAATATGAAGGATAAAATCAAGACATTAGATAGAGTAGATACCGTATATCCATTAAACTGCAATAAAATTTACATAGGGGAATCTAAACAACATCTCAAAAAACGTATACAACCACATAAATACGATACTAAACAAATAAAAACGCAAAACAAAACGAAAATCCCAAAATATTAACAACAAATAAAAACACACTAATAAGAAAAAACTTGGAATCAATTTTCGTAACAAAAAACATGAATAACGCAGTTATATATGCAGCATTATGCACATATTGAAGAATCATAGAATCTTCATAGAATTAAAATAAAATCAATTGAATAAATAATAAAGTAAATCATTTAATTGTTGTTTCTTTAGATGACAAAAATTATTAAACCTGATGATGGGAATAGTCCCGAAACGTCGTTTGTAACGATTTAGAAATAAATAGTTAAAGGAGGGAATGGTGTAATGTTTTTATAATAAAATAATTAAAGGAAACCTCCACACACAAGAAATTATAAAAACGAAGCTTTTCAACAAAGATGTTTAAAATGTCGAGTTGCAACATCAATACAGTTTCTAATTCTACGTTCAAAGGAAGCCCCAATTCTTTCAAATAACTCGTAGTTTTCACGAATTGTCTCGCAACCCTGTTCTATTCGTTGCCGCAAATCTTTAAGATTGTTTACAGGTGTCGCGTACACTAAACTTTTTAAGTAATCGCCCTATCCATCTCCCAGGAAATCTTTCATTCAAATGTCCTCTAACAATACGCGTAAAGTGCGAGGGAGCTCCATCCTGCATAAACCAGAGATTTAGTCTTTGATTTAGCAAGTCTTCCAAAAGTTGAGGAAGAGTGTTTTCCAAGAAATCAAGGTATGTTAGACCAATTAATGGTTGTGATAAAACTATCGACGCCTAACCAGATATTTAAACTAAACCGCTGTTGATGCCTGGTTTCAAAAACGGCTCGAGGATTCTCGTCAGACCACACATGATTATTGTGTAAATTGAATATTCTATTTCTGGTAAAACCAGCTTCATCGGTAAAAAGTATGTTAGCTGAGAATTCTCGACATTCGCGTGGTAATCCGGAGGATTGAGGGCTTGGACACTTTAGAGATCGATATCTTCGCAACCGCTCTATAAAAAAAATTGCGACAAAGTTTGTTGTAATCACTGAACATTTCTACGTAACATATGTTAATTTGAAAATTTTCGGATCCACGGTTTTTTTGTTATCGCGAGTTAAATGAAAAAAGTACCCGATTTTTGGACGTTGTCAACTTTGCGATTTTTTTTCTCGAAAAGTATCGTACGAAAAAATTTGAATTTTGAATAGGTGATAGCCTGATGTGTTCTTAATGAGTGGCATATTTTATTTTTTCGATATTCCGTGCAGTTTCGCGGAAAATCGCAATTTAGTAAGACGCTGTTATGTCGAAAACGGCTTGGTGGATTTCCTCGCGGATTTGACCAAAATATGTCAAATAATATTGTAATTATCCATGTTGCAAGATGTATGTAAATAATGAAAAATCAAAATAACCTCTTACTTGCTTTTATTAATATGCTTCGATAATATAATATTAATATGCTTCGATCTTAAATTTGAAAATGGTGAAAACAAATTGTTTTAAATACGCAGTAAAATTATTTGAAGACCAAAACTTTTTAGAGGTTAAATAAAAATAATTAATATTAAATAAAAAATAAATAAAAACTTACAAATAAGCGAAGACAACGAAATAAGCATAGGCTGGTTCCTCCACCGCATCGCTGCGGGACTTCTAACGTACTTTTCAAAATTTTATTAACGTTTTTCGGTCCATTTTTGCTTATTTCGTTGTCTTCGCTTATTTGTAAGTTTTTATTTATTTTTTGTTATTTAATATAAATTATTTTTCTTTTAGATTTAACCTCTAATAACTTTTTGGTCTTCAACCATTGTAACCCTTTTGACCTTCAAATAATTTTACTGCGTATTTAAAACAATTTGTTTTCACCATGTTCAAATTTAAGATATTTTTTATTATTTTTCTCGCTTGTGAGCATCATTAACTTTGACTGTAAGTTTTATTTTTCTTTTAACGTGTTTTTTCTAATTATTTGAGTTCGTAGTTTTCGACTGAAGATGAGGTAATACCTCGAAACTAGTATCGAAGCATATTAATAAAAGCAAGTAAGAGGTTATTTTGATTTTTCATTATGTCAAATAATGTCGAATGTTCAAAATTAGAGCTCTCTAATTTTTTAAGAGCGATTTAATACAATTACAAATTGAAGAGAAACAGAAGTAAGCTGCGCGGGGTGACAGGAGTTCCGTCCAATCGGAACAGATGGTGCATCCCAGACAGGACGTCGCGCCTTATTTCTTTATATAGGTAAAATAAAGGCGCGACGTACTGTCTGGGACGCAGCATCTGTTCCGATTGGACGGAACCGTCCTCTCCCCGCATAGCTTATTTCAGTTTCTCTTTAATTAGTAATTCCATTAAATCGCTCTTAAAAAATTAGGGAGCCCTAATTTTGAAAAAATAATAACGGAATCCGACAACCGACATTATTTGACATATTTTGGTAGAAACCGCGTTGAAATCCGGCAGGTCGTTTTCGAAATCCGCGAAACTATCTAGAATATCGAAAAAATAAAATATGCCCCACATTAAGAACACATCGGTTTAAAACCAGTTCAAATTTGAAATTTTTTCGTCAAATAGTTTTGGAGAAAAAAAATCGCAAAGTATTCAAAGTTGCTGGCAGTCTCAAAAATCGGGTACTTTTTTCACTTAACTCGCGATAAAAGAAAAACCGCGGACCCGAAAATTTCCAAATTAATATGTTATACGCAGAAATGTTCACTGATTACAACAAGCTTTACCACAATTTTTTCCATCGAGCGGTTACAAAGATATTGATCTCTAAAGTAGTACCCACTTGAGCCGAAATTTTTCTCACACTTGGCCTTACATAAACACCATATCGCTATTTCGACATTTGAATACAAGATTTCGCTTCAGGTTTCGCAAAGTCAAATTACTAGAGTTTGGTTAGTTCGTAATTTGAACAAAACGTTAAATTAATGTATTTTAGCAGATTGTATGTAAGTCAAAGCCTACTCCTTGTAATGGAATAACTTATATCAACTGGAAGCTATTATACTAATCTCAAAAAGAGACAGTTTCATATTACATCGATTTGTGAAACTTATAAAAACCGAAAGTATTAATATTACATTGTGTCAATTCAATTTTTTTTAATAATTTACTTTAAAAAATGGTAACCATAAAGAATAAAAAATTAAACAGTAGAGCCCCAAACCATTTAAATGTTTCGACTTTTGTTTAAACTGTTCGACTGTAGTATTACCCCTATAAATATTTAAACGTTGTTTTAAAACACCCTATATAATTAATTTTTAAAACCTCTTTATCAGCCGGGACGTTGTACATAGAAAGCAGCGATTTCATTATTTCAGCAGGCATCTTCCTAATTTGATCCACATGGGGAATGTGGATGTAAGACATATTTTGTTTTGATCTTGTATCTTTGGATTCTGCGTGTTCAATGTGGAACTCAAAATGCAATGTAGTTGCTGAAGGGGGCATTGGTTTTGTGGAACTACAGCAATCTGCTAAACCAAAACCATTCTCTTTTCCGCCCCAACTCTAAATTACATAACATAAAACGTTAATTAAAAAAAGTTTCGTAATTTTATGATTAATTCAATATGACACATTGATTAATAATATTACCTCAGCTAAATGATGTAAACGTGAGATTAAGACAGAACGTTGTTCAGGATGCATTCGGGTGATGAAATTACTTCTTTTGGAAAAGATATATAATAAGTTTAAAACTCCCAAAACAACGCACATATCGCTGGAACCCAAAAGAACCAGTAGAGTGTCCATGCTTTTGTAAGTGTGTCGAGAGAAGGAATGCTCGATTAGCAGGGTAGTAAAATGTAATATCCATAACAAAAGCTTTTTATCCTGTAATGAAAAATAAAATAATTATTCAATTATAAAGAGTTCTACAACAATGCGTCAGGCATCCATAACTCCTATACCAATTAAGTTAGGAATTTCTTTCAAACGCAAATTTGTACTATAATATATGAGTATGAAAATAAAAAATAAAAAAATGTATTTTTTTTAATGGAACAGCCTGTATATTTTTACATATTTGGATTTGTCTAATAGCACCCCCCATATTTTATTGCTGATAACTTAATTTTTTTAAATGGAACAATTTTTTTTTTTGCATAACTGGATGTAAAATTTAATTTCCTTTCAGTTTTATACAAGTATCATGGTGTCTATCTGAAATGGTTTTGGAGATATTCCCGATTTTTCAAAAAACCCTAATTATTTCCCAAACTATTAATGTTAGGTATAGGACCAATGGGATATAAAAGATGTAAAATGAGATGCCGACGACGACTAAGCAATAAAATATGGGGGGTGCCATTTAAAAAAATTAAGTTATGGTACTTCCAAATTTCGAAAAGTTAAAAGTTACCAAAGAATCTAGACGCACTATTGCATATATAGAGTGATTCACATAAGAACCGACACAGAGTAGGCAAAAAGTCAAGGCTCCTCACTTTAGAGATCGATATCTTCCTAACCGATCGATATTACCATTTTTTATTTATAAGGTCTGAATTGATTAAACATCAAAATTGTTGATTTTCGAAAATTAACTCAATTATAACTCAAAAACTAAAAGCGATGGGGAAATACTTTTTATACATAAAACCTTAGTAATGGGCCATAAAGATTAGATCCATAAAAAGATTGAACCCAATTATTACTATTTTTTATTTATAAGCTCTAAATCGATTAAACATCAAAATTGTTGATTTTCGAAAATTAACTCAATCATAACTCAAAAACTAAAAGCGATGGGGAAAAACTTTTTATACATAAAACCTTAGTAATGGGCCATACAGACTAGATCCATAACAAGATTGAACCCAATTATTACTATTTTTTATTTATAAGCTCTAAATCGATTAAACATCAAAATTGTTGATTTTCGAAAATTAACTCAATCATAACTCAAAAACTAAAAGCGATGGGGAAATACTTTTTATACATAAAACCTTAGTAATGGGCCATAAAGACTAAATCCATAATAAGATTGAACCCAATTATTACCATTTTTTATTTATAAGCTCTAAATCGATTAAACATCAAAATTGTTGATTTTCGAAAATTAACTCAATCATAACTCAAAAACTAAAAGCGATGGGGAAATACTTTTTATACATAAAACCTTAGTAATGGGCCATAAAGACTAAATCCATAACAAGATTGAACCCAATTATTACCATTTTTTATTTATAAGCTCTAAATCGATTAAACATCAAAATTGTTGATTTTCGAAAATTAACTCAATCATAACTCAAAAACTAAAAGCGATGGGGAAATACTTTTTATACATAAAACCTTAGTAATGGGCCATAAAGACTAAATCCATAACAAGATTGAACCCAATTATTACCATTTTTTATTTATAAGCTCTAAATCGATTAAACATCAAAATTGTTGATTTTCGAAAATTAACTCAATTATAACTCAAAAACTAAAAGCGATGGGGAAATACTTTTTATACATAAAACCTTAGTAATGGGCCATAAAGACTAAATCCATAACAAGATTAAACCCAATTATTACTATTTTTTATTTCTAAGCTCTAAATCAATTTAACATAAAAATTGTTGATTTTTGAAAATTAACTCAATTATAACTCAAAAATTAAAAGCGATGGGGAAATACTTTTTATACATAAAATCTTAGTAATGGGCCATAAAGACTAAATCCATAACAAGATTAAACCCAATTATTACCATTTTTTATAAGCTAAAGCTTTAAGTTTTTTAAAAAATAATAAGAGTAACAAAAGTTTTAGAATTAAATTCCACATGAAATGAAGTAGTAAAGTATAAAATTTAGAATTAATGAAATGCCTTAATTGAGTTGGTTTTTCTAGCTTAATGTATTAGGAGGATATTGAACTTTTTAAAAATTTAAATCCAACTTTGAAGGCTTATAACTCCTAAGGTGTACAACTTAGTTAAATCATCTTAATTTATTGTCCTCTGCTCTGTGAGGGGTTTTATGTGAATCACCCTGTATAATTAAAATTTTTTTTCTTACAGAAATGTTATATTTCCAATCACAATTTAAAGCCCATTTGTTTTCTGGATGGCTCTCAGTGGCTTCATCTAGAATTGCATCAAAAAGATGCAACACTTCCTTCCAATGGCCCAATTCACATTTCCCAAACGTCCATGTATTAATTTTTGATAGCTCCTCTAAGAGTTGTAGTCTATTACATTTCTTAAGGCGATCAATGAGCACCTTGCACTCGGATGGAGGCTCCGTGGTGCTCTTACGGATACGGTTATGGTCGATTTTCATGGCTCTTGTGTCCTCCCCTACGGACCCCTCATCGCTTTGATCATTAACTGCATAATAAGTAAGTAAAAGGGATTAAAATGTATTTATATTAATTACTTACTTTGATTGTAATACACACTTTCCGCCATGACTACGCACCATTATGTCATTAATATTTTATAACACCGGACCATAAACGTTTCAACATACCAAACTGTATCTGGAAATGTAAAAAAACAATGGTAATATGATATAAGAGAAACAATAAAAGTTTCAACGAATTCGATAATTCGAGAAGATAAAAGAAAATAATTTCTAGAAATGATATTTGAAACATGTCACAGCAGTTCATTGTTATTGATGATATGGTGGAGAATCAAAGATAAATATGCTTAGTCATTGTCATTCGTTGGGGATGTTTAAAAAACATTATTAATTATAAATTTAAACAATAACGGAAATCTTAGAAAGCTAATACTAAGATAAACGATTTTTTTATACCACTCGGTATGCCAATACTTGTTATACTTAAGAACGCCTGGCGGCCATATTGAGTAGTCATGCCAAACAAAATACATATATTTCATCAAAACACTTTCGCGATGTTAAATAAACTCACACAAACGCACATAATAACGATAGATATTACCTAAAATGTTAAATACTCGGCTACACAGCTACAATCGCTTCGATACACAAATTAAGATTGATACGAAGCACAACTGACCGCAAAGCAACAGCGATTCGTGAGAAACTGATGCATGAACCGTGAAGTTAGTCACAAACTGTTCCCATCAAAATCTAAATTTCTAAATATTTAACACGTTACTTAAAGAAAACTTTTTACTCAGCACTATTTATGTGTTGATAATGAGTTTAAAAGTCACGATAAACACTTAAAAAAGAAAACAAAAACTGTTTGATTATACCGATTCGCAACTTCATTTCGTTGACCTCATTTTGCGGGATATTTGAAATCTTAATAATGAACACTACTTTTAATAAAGTAAATTTGTATTTATATTATTTAAATTGTTTATTTATCCAGAATTGACGATTCACGTTTAGTAATTGGATATTTTCCTGAACTATGGAAGCATGCTAATAATAATAATAATAATAATAATATGACTTTATTGTATCCCATATAAAACAAATAGAAAAATATATATATATATATATATATACATATATATAGATATATGTATACATACCCCAATGTGTTATCGTAAATTAAAATTTAAAAACATATACATATACATACCCATATCGAGATACAAACGGCGGGATCCAGAAAAATCTGCTCTATCCAACCGAATAAACAGAAAAGAAAAGAAAAACAAAAGAAATGAAAGAAAAGAAAAAGAAAGAAAAAAGAAAAACAACCTGATAAGGTTGCCCTTGTAAAGCCTGCAATAGAAAATAATAAAAAAACAAACTCAATTCAGACGAGAATCAACTGACATCCGCTGACTGCTGACAAAACATTAGTCTCCTTAGTTCTGTGCGAAATCGAGATAAAGACAATTGTCGCAACACAATTGGTAAAGATCCGTATGATTTGAACATTGAAGTTCTAAATCTCGGCGGATAGAAACTCATTCCCGACCTGGTTTGACGAAGCTGTGGTTTAAATATAATTTTATTATATAGATATTCCGGAATTCCAGAGACCACAATTCTGTGGAATAGAACCAAACTGTAAAATTCCCTCCTGTTGCACATACTCAACCAACCAGCCTCTTTAAGTTTATAAGAAATTCTCTCAAATTTTCGAATTCCATAGATGAATCTAAGACAACTGTTTTGTATTCTCTGTATTCTGCGCGAAGTGACCACATCAATAGCGCCATGATATATAGCAGACATAAAGTTAAAATGTGAGAGCACAAATGCGTCACACAAACTTATTTTCGCAAATTGCAGTAAGATCTTTTAATATACATGCCAATTTGTTGCTTAAATCTAAAATTATTGTCCAAAATCAAACCAAGACACTTAACCTCTGAAACTCTTTTAATTAACGTATCATTCAACTTAATAGCCAAGTCAGGAGCAGCAACACGCTTTTGACTACTAAAGCACATCCACATAGATTTTTCAGGGTTTATTTTTAAGTGATGGTAAGAAGCAAGAGTAAATATTTTTTCAAGATCTTTGTTTATATTATATTCAACAACACCACTATCCGCATCCACATAAGAAGCGTACAGTTGTGTATCATCTGCATAAGAGTTAATCTTACAAAACTGAATAAATTTGCTGAACTGCGAAGTATATAAAGAAAACAAGATAGGACCCAACACAGAACCTTGCGGAACACCGCTTGTTACTGCCAAATCACTAGAAACAGAATCGTCAATCCTGACCCGCTGTGTGCGATCACTAAGATAATCACGTAAAATAGATACTGTGTCTTCAGTAAATCCCAAATATCGAAATAATTTACAAATAACAGTGTGGTTAACAGTATCAAATGCCTTAGAGTAATCCAAGAAAACTACGGCGGTATTCATTTCTCTGTCAAGAGCAGTCAACAAATCATCTGTTAAATTCAGCATTGATGTAGTGCAGCTATACCCACGCCTAAAGCCCGATTGCTGCGATGGGAGTAAACCCTTCAGTTCCACATACTCTGTCAACTGTATCTTCATAATCTTTTCTAAAATTTTGGAAAGCACAGGGAGCACACTAATAGGTCGCAAGTCGCCATATTCCTGCGGGTCACCCCTCTTAGGCAGCGGAACAACCACAGCACGCTTCCATTCCATGGGAAATACATGTTCAGTTAAGCAACAGTTTAGTATATGAGTTAAATATGGCAAAATAGTTGGACAAGACATTTTGATCATGTCAATGGAAACACCATCCGCTCCAACTGCAGATGAGGCAATAGAATTAATCATCTCCAACACCAAAGAGACCTCCACTGGTTTAAAAGAAAAGTCATTTTTAAAACTAAAACTATCATAGAGACCTAAACCAGACCCTTGGAAGTCTTTAACAATTTCTTTGACACTATCCACAAAACATTCATTAATCTTATCAGGAAACCTTAAATTTGACGGCAAGGTAGCATCTTTATGTGATTTAATATTCAATGACTTCAATTTGCACCACATATAGCTCCTTGAGAAGATTATAAAAAAGAGATTCATCAACTCCAACGAAAACAAAATGGTTGGATGGATTAAAATTCAAAATTCTTGAACTTGATTTACCACAATGTCTCAAATCAATCCTTCTATCTTTTCTGACAAACCTAATCTTTTCCACCAAAATTCACGACTGCTTCTCCTCCAAATCACCAATACGAGTATATGTTCCACAAGGTAGTGTCATATTCATACCCAAATTATTCAGAATGACATAGCTATGTTTGCGGATGATACAGTCTTATTTACAAGAAATCTCAACCTATGGAATTTAGACATTAATGAACAAAAATGTGCAGCAAAAATTTTCACATTAAGGCGTATAAGAAACCCTCAATTAGTTATCAACAACAAACAGATAGAGTGGAGAAACAACGAAGAAGCAGTAAAATATTTGGGAATTCATTTGGATACAAGACTCACTTGGAAACATCATATCAACTTAAAGCTAAATAAAGGTTATGGGAGACTAGCTGAATTATATAGTATTATAAACAGGAAATCTTCCATGCAACCTGAATGCACTATATTTTTTCTCTAGCCCAACCCAACCCAAACCAAAACCTTTATTAATAGAGCAAAACCTTAATATTTATAGAAGGGATTAGGAAATCTGCTAACAGACACCCGACCTAAGTTGTCATGCAGCCGGATAGTGTCGGGTTGGCTTCTCTCTTGGGTTGCCGATATCATCACTTCTCTAAGATATCTCATGATGATGTTCCGGTGTTTTTCGTCCTTCGTGATCAGGTTTCTTCTGTGACTCATTGTTGCCCTTTCTCTCTCAAAACGTGCGCATTTAAATATTGTGTGTCTGGAGGTGTCCGACTCCCGGCACCTGAACCAGCAGATATTGGATTCGATCTTCTTGATTTTTTGAGATATTCTGCGTATATGCCGTGCCCCGTTATGGTTTGAGTGGTGTAATAATCTACTCGAGGTCCTTTCTCCCGCCAAGCTCTCGCACTCTTTATGAACGTCTTCGCCCAGCCACTTTTCATAGAGAGGCGAAAATGCTTTCTCGCATTTCCCAGTTCCTGCTTCTCTTCCATGCCAGTAAGTCTTAATATCTTGGCGTATTTCTTGAACCTGAGCGCGCTTTCCCATACAGGGGCTACGTATAACGTTCCGATCTCTTTTTCTGGGCATCAGACGCGATAAAACGTTGCAGACTTTGGTAGCTTTCTCGGAAACTTTGCTGACGTGTTCGGTCCTGCGCATATCCTGATTGACGTAGACTCCGAGGTACTTTACATTAGGTAGGGTTTTCAACTTTCTCCTTTCCTCGAGAATGACCGTCTCTGTTTTTTCTTCCGCCAATTGCAGGCCTATTTCACGCAGCTTTTCCTTTATTACCTGGACTTTGGATTTTGCCTTGACAATCACCGCCAGATCATCAGCGTAGGCCACGAGCGAGACGCCCTTCTGTACCTTAATCTCTAACACCTAGTCGTAAAAGACATTCCAGAGCGTTCCTCCAATTACCGAACCTTGCTGGACTCCTCTCTTCCTCCCGGTAGTATTATTCGTCTATCCGACAAATAGGATTTTATTATCCTTTTAATTCCTGTCGAGAAGCCTTTCCTCTCCAGTGCTCTATTTATTTCTGTCCACGGTGCGGAATTGAACGCGTTCCTAATATCTAGCAGGATCATGACGCAGTATTCCCTGTTTTCCAGGGACACTTTTTTCCCTCTTTCACATTTTCAACAATCAACATGAGTGCGTGCTCTCCCCTTCCTGTATCCATACTGTTCGTTTAGCAGATTTCTCTCCTTTATCTCGGCCATCATCCTTTCGTTGATCAACTTCTCGAGTATCTTCCCTACCACACTCAGGAGGCAGAGAGGTCTGTAAGACTGTTCTGTTTCCGGTTTTCCATATCCGTGGCAATATGCCTTTTCATTCATGCATTATCTTTTTTTGTGCATATCTTTATTATCTCGTTGGAGCTGCTCTTTCGCTCCCAGCTTAATTCTTTTCGTCGCGATCTGGTAGGCCGCTCCCCATATATTTTCCTGTAGTTCGGCGCAGAGGCTTTTCCACTTCTTCTCCTGGTTACGCTTTATTATCTTGGTTAGCTCTTTTCGTGTCAGTCTGTATTCTTCCTTCGCGGTCTTTTGTTCTTCGGTGCTACAATGATGCCTTCGTCTCGTTCTTTGTATCTTTCTTCTTTTCGTTATGCATTCAGATCTGGGCTGGGCTACATGGTCATCCCACCAGCAGACTGGTTCTCTCCACAATACTTCTTTTTAAATACTCTATCACATGCTTCGGTGATCTCTCTGAATAGTCGTATTGGATCTCCGTTGGATATTTCTTTTCGTAAAAGATCGTTCCCAGTGTTTTAGTGCCCTCTCTGTAATCTGCCAACAGATAAACACAAGGTGCTTATATTACATTGTATATATTGTTAAATAATAAAAATTCCATGTATAGCTCTAGAGCTGGTCTGGTAAATAAGAATTTTGTCTTTTTTGTAAAATAATGAATACGGCAAGCTTCTTATTGGTACTGGGAACTTATTGTAGAGGTGCAAACCTAATATTAGTGAGTTAGAGTTTTTCGAAAACAAAATGTACATTACACAAGATTTCGATCGAATTTGGTTGGGCGGATTGAAATTCAAAATCCTTAAACTTGATTTACCACAATACCTCAAATCAATCCTTCTATCTTTCCTGACAAATCGAATTTTTTCCACCAAAATCCACGACTGCCAAAATCACCAATACGAACAGGTGTTCTACAAGGCAGTGTTCTGGCCCCAAATTATTCAGAATGACATAGCTATGTTTGCGGATGATACAGTCTTATTATATACAAAATACATATATATTACAAAAGATAAATAAGTAAATTACAAACTATTACGACCAAGATAAAGAAATGGCGCAACTTATGGAATTTAGACATTAACGAACAAAAATGTGCAGCAAAAATTTTCACATTAAGACGTATAAGAAACCATCAACAGTCCAAGAGTCCATCAAGTACATGCAAACCTAGTAAATTGTTGTTTCCACCCCAAACGTTGATGCTGAAATGTTGTCGAAATTTCCTTGGTCTAATCGCATGTGAATTTTGTAATGCCCAGATATGTTCATTATGGTAATTGTTTATACCATCTCGTGTAAAACATGATTCATCTGCCCAGAGAATATTTGAAATGAAGTCATTATTTTGGGCATGTTGCTGCAATAACCATTCACAAAATACTAACCATTGATGCTGCTTATCTCCTGGCTTGACTTACATGTATGTTGTGTGCTATTCTTCGAGTATGTAATAATTAAACCTTACAGCAAACTGACATATTACAATGACAACTTTGTTTTTGTTGAAAGTTTGATTTTACTGACTATTAATAAATTCCCTGCAGAAAACTTTAAAGTGTTATAATTTCATATGTTCATTAAAAATTTTTTTTTGGTAATTGCATTAACTATCATATGTCAAAGTTTGATGGTGAGCTAATAAATCACCCTGTATAGTATAAACAGGAAATTTTCCCTTAAAAATGAATTGGGCTTTAAAACGATTCAAGAGTTTATTTCAACGAAAACCAAAAAGTTCCACGAACGACTACACATGTGTGAATCAACAGAATGAATATAATTTGGGCAGAAGAAATATTCATAGACGATTACAATCCACAGGGTGCTTAGGAGAGTGAAGGCGACTCGTGTTGTATATTACATTGTATATCTTGCAAAATAATAAAAATGCCATGTACTGTAGAAAGTCTACTTCAAAAGAAGATTTTATCCGCAAGCTTTGTATTGGTACTGGTAATTTATTGTAGAGGTGCAAACCTGGTATCAGTGAGTTAGAGTTAAGTCTACTTTTTGGAATACCCAGTAACTGGCAGTGTCTACTACATCTTCAATCTCTCGTGTATATAGGCATATGGTAATGTCATTATATCATATTTGATGTTTGGGGAACTCCATCAATTGCCCTTGAACGGCTTGAACCTCTTTAAGCATAGGAAGAGTTGAAATAAGGCAAAATAAACTGTCCTGGCTTCCTCACTACCAATTAATTGTCGCACCCTTCTAAGCGCATATATTTGACGACTGAGTCTCTTACACAGTAATTCTACGTGGTCGTACCAAGTATGAAGACTGTCTAGAACAACACCCAAATACTGCACCTTTCCACCTTGGAACTCTTGTTGGACTTTTCACGATTTGTAACAAGTTTATTGGTAGTAAACCAGTTAGATATAGATGTGTTCATTATTATATCATCCGCCTATTATCCATTAATATAGATAATAAAGAACAGAGGCCCTTCAATTGATTCCATTCCACTATTTGGGAGCGGCTTTCAAAATAAGATTTAGTGTAACTCCGTGAAAACCATAATGCTCAGAAAAATTTCATGGTCCATATAATCAAACGCTTTTGAAAGATCATGGAAGTGTGCTAGACAGTTTTCTTCACATTCAAAACGATCATAAACCCATTCAATCAGTCTCTGAAGGGCATTTACTTCTCATCTATTCTTATCAAAAAAGTTTCCATGATTTTTTCGAAAATTTTAGAAAAATAAAGTAGAATAGCCTTGGTAGCTGTAGTTATTCATATTCTTGGGACCACCCTTTTTAAGCATTTTTAAGAAAAAAGGCAAGTGCTAAATCTTTATAAGTTGCCAACACATACTTTTATACATCTGCATGGAGTGCTATTAAATGCTTTACTAAATGATCTGACCCAGTTGATCCTCGAATTCCTCCATCCTCGAATTCAAGCAAGATCTTCCTCGACGCCATCTTGTTTTTCTTGTCATAAGCATATATTTAGTCTTCCCCTTGTTAACTGCAAGCCCAGCTCTTTTTGATTCTTGACTCTCCACTAAGTCCCCTTCTGTCTTTATCAACATCATCAATTTAGACTAAATAATGCGCTGATCTAATCAGTAGTGCTGCCCCAGAGTTAATCTGATCTTTTTCGGCACTCTAAACAGAGTGAAATTAAAAAGTACATAAGAAAGACCGAGATCGTTCTCTTACAACTTCAAGTTTTGTCATCTTTTTGTGTTCTTAAAACATTCAAAAAATTTTTGTTTTTTTGTTGTTTTATACGAACGTCAAGTGAGTCACCATTTAACATTTTGTAAACAATAATAATCCTCATATCTTTAAATTAAACATGTTTTATTACTTTATTAATTAAATAATGAAAGTTAAAGTAAATCTAAAAACATCTGTTAATGTTGAATTTGGTGTTTATGTTTTATTATTATTTACAGCGCCATCTGTTGAGTTAAAATAAAGCTTGATATGTCAGTTTCTTATCGACCTGTCCGTTCGTGTTTACATGAACGGAAATGAAGTATTTTTTTTAATCTTTTCTTGTAAATAATTATTAATTTTTGGGAAAATGGGCAGCACGGAGTACGCCCGTGAATTAACAAGACTATCAGTTGCTAAAATTGTGCATACAATAGGATACCACACATCAAACACAAGCCCTTTGGAGATACTTACTGATATTGCTGCCCAATATATTAAATCCTTGGGGAAATTAACAAACGAATATGCCAATTTGTGTAAGTTTTTCTGTTATTAATTAAGTTAAATTATCACATGGTTTTGCAGATAATTTTTCTGAGGCTAATTTGGATCATCTGGGCCTAGCATTTCACCACTATCACATAAACCTACCTGAACTTGAAGAATATATAAGTAATGTAGATATGGGTGGGCCCCCTTTATCAGCTCCAAATTTTCCAATACCAAAAGAGAATCATCTAAATTTTTTAAAGCCAGGGAGTAAAGAATGTGTTACAAGACCTGTACATATTCATGAACATTTACCACCTATGTATAATATGAATGAAGGTAAGATTCTATATATAGGGTGTGTGAAATGTCTGGAATATACCCAATAATTTCGCCATTTGTGGGTTTAAAGAAAAATGTTTTAAATAAAAAAAAGCTGTTTACTGGATATCCGGTTTTATTATTGCAATATTTGAATAAAAATGAAATTAATAAGAAAGCTGATAAGATACCTCAACTTATTTGGATGCAAGATACAAAAGGAACTTTTTTGATGCTGATTTAATTAATGAAGCAACTCTAAAAAGAGAATAGAACTATCAAATTTAAAACATTTTCAGTGAACACTTTTTTAAAATTTATTTCTCAAGAACTAAAAGTGATTTTTCAAAACGGCTTTTTGCATTAAAAAGAGGATACTTTAATTAATAATTGGAGATATTTCCACAAAGATCCTTCAAGAAATTAATTTTATAGCGAATTTTGAAAATTATCGAAACATCGCAAACTTCCAATATTGTTTTCTCAAAAACTAAAAGTTATTTTTCAAAACGGGTTGGTTCATTGGAAAGAGGACACTTTTATTAACACTTTGGGAAATTTTCATACTCATATTCCAAGAAATGGATTTTATACGAATTTTTAAAACTTAATCGGCGAAAATTGCAAAATTCGAAAAAATTGTCGATCATTTCAAAAATTTATTTCTCAAGAACTAAAAGTGATTTTTCAAAACGGCTTTTTGCATTAAAAAGAGGATACTTTAATTAATAATTGGTGATATTTCCACAAGGATCCTTCAAGAAATTAATTTTATAGCGAATTTTGAAAATTATCGATGAAAATTGCAACATCGAAAATTTTATCAAAACTTCAAATATTGTTTTCTCAAAAACTAAAAGTTATTTTTCAAAACGGGTTGGTTCATTGGAAAGAGGACACTTTTATTAACACTTTGGGAAATTTTCATACTCATATTCCAAGAAATGGATTTTATACGAATTTTTAAAACTTAATCGGCGAAAATTGCAAAATTCGAAAAAATTGTCGATCATTTCAAAAATTTATTTCTCAAGAACTAAAAGTGATTTTTCAAAACGGCTTTTTGCATTAAAAAGAGGATACTTTAATTAATAATTGGTGATATTTCCACAAGGATCCTTCAAGAAATTAATTTTATAGCGAATTTTGAAAATTATCGATGAAAATTGCAACATCGAAAATTTTATCAAAACTTCAAATATTGTTTTCTCAAAAACTAAAAGTTATTTTTCAAAACGGGTTGGTTCATTGGAAAGAGGACACTTTTATTAACACTTTGGGAAATTTTCATACTCATATTCCAAGAAATGGATTTTATACGAATTTTTAAAACTTAATCGGCGAAAATTGCAAAATTCGAAAAAATTGTCGATCATTTCAAAAATTTATTTCTCAAGAACTAAAAGTGATTTTTCAAAACGGCTTTTTGCATTAAAAAGAGGATACTTTAATTAATAATTGGTGATATTTCCACAAGGATCCTTCAAGAAATTAATTTTATAGCGAATTTTGAAAATTATCGATGAAAATTGCAACATCGAAAATTTTATCAAAACTTCAAATATTGTTTTCTCAAAAACTAAAAGTTATTTTTCAAAACGGATTGGTTCATTGGAAAGAGGACACTTTTATTAACACTTTGGGAGATTTTCGTACTCATATTCCCAGAAATGGATTTTATACGAATTTTTAAAACTTAATCGGCGAAAATTGAAAAAATCAATTATTTAAAAAATTTATTTCTCAAGAACTAAAAGTGATTCTTCAAAACGGCTTATTGCATTAAAAAGAGGATACTTTAATTAATAATTGGTGATATTTCCACATAGATCCTTATAGAAATTAATTATATAGCGAATTTCGAAAAATATCGCAACATCGAAAACTTCAAATATTGTTTTCTCAAAAACTAAAGGTTATTTTTCAAAACGGGTTGGTTCATTGGAAAGAGGACACTTTTATTAACACTTTGGAAGATTTTCATACTCATATTCCAAGAAATGGATTTTATACGAATTTTTAAAAGTTAATCGGCGAAAATTTATTTCAAAAATTTATTTCTCAAGAACTGAAAGTGATTATCATATAATTTATTATCATTTATCATATAATTAAGGACAACATTTTTTATTTAAAACTGCGTTCTTTTTACTAAAATGTTACATCTATTTTCTTAAAAAAAAGAATTATGTCTATTATCCTATAACTCATGTATTAATTGAAAAAGAAACGAAAATAATGTGCTCATAATAACTTAAAAATAAAATATATAAATATTGATTATTTTAGCTTGGTCAGCTAATTAAGGACATTTCAAATTTTTCAAATATACTTAAAAAGGTTACATTTTATACATAAATTTTCCTGACTCGTATCATCACGCCAAGTCACTTTCATGGCGCGTAAGGGAAATCCAGGCCAAAGAAAACTACTCCAGTAGAAGATCGCTTAATTTGCAGAAGCAGAGCCAATCTTTTTTTGAGTTCTAAGCAAATTCATTGCGAAATAACGGCTCAATTAAGTATTGAAATATCAATGATGCAAAAACGTACTTGAACTAAAAGGTTATCCTACTAAATATTAGATTTAAATGAAAATTTACATTTAAAACGTAGTTAATTAATTAATTGTTAATGTATAAAAAAACTATGTATTATTTTCGTTTTTGTTTCAATAATTACATGAAAAATAAGATAATAAACATAATTTTTTTCATTCAAAAAATCGAATCCCTGATTATATGACCACCACTGTTTATAATATAGAACTTATCTTATTTTTACAGTTGTTAATGAAAATGAGCCAGAACCAATAGTGGAGGATCAAGTTCAAGATGAAAAACAAGAAAATTCCAGCACAATATTTAAGCGCCCTTCAGAAATATCACCCAGTGATAATTTTAAAAGACCTAAGTAAGATAATCCTCTTAATAAGGCGTTTTAAAAAAATTATTATTCTTTTAGATTGGTGTTAGAAGAAGAAGGTCGGCCAACGAGAGAAATAAGTAGTGTTATGATGACCACATCTGGTTTTATATCGCCAGCACGCGAAGGAAAATTACCAGAATCTAGAACACCTTTAGCAACATTAGAAACAGCGCCCCTACCGAATACAACCGCCCCACCAAATCCGCCAGCAATCAGCAAACCAAAAGGTCCAAAACGAATAGAAAAGAAAAAAGAGAAAGGCGCAAAAGAATTATTTAAAACGCAAGAAGATAAAGTTAAAAAAGTTACAACTCCGAGAGAACCGAAAATAAAAGCAACCGACAAACAAATAGTCGCGAATGAATCTAGAGGTGGAAAAACCCAAAATCAAACTAACAATCGAGTTAATAAAAACTCGATGGGAAATAGATTAAAACCTGATAAATCTGGTGTAACAATCACTCCCATTATGCCATTAGAAAATATAAAATTATTTTCAGAACCCGACCGTAAAAAAGCAAACATTTTCCGTAAAATTTCCGCAAAAGCAGATAAATCAGAAAATAAAGTAAAACCTAAAGATGAAAAATTGGATTCAAGAGAAACATCGCCTCTTCTTGTTATAGATGAGCCCTTCATAGATACAAACCCAACTAATAAATTTAATTTAATGTCTGATGTGACGGTGGAAATTGTTCCAAAACCACCACCTCAAAATCCCCCGCCTATTAATCAAGAACGTTACTTCTCAGATGACTCGCCCCCAGGCACACCATTAACACCAAAAACTCCAGAAATGGTCTCGCATAGTCCACCATTAACTAAAGAGAAAAAACGACGTGAAAAACCGCAAAAAATGAAACGAATACCAAAACAAACAAACGTTGATGCTGGAGATTTCGAACTTTATCCTCGACCAAAAACCCCGGAAGTAGCCAATATGTTTCAACCAATTCCGTTTCCCGTTTTTCCTCCGTCTTTAGGGCCTGGTTTAATTCCTCAATCGTTGTTTCATAACATGCCACTTCCGCTTGGTGTTCCAAGACCACCGTTTCCTTCGCCCCTTATTGGAAGTAATCCTATGATTATGGATCTTGCGATACCACCCATAGCACCTCCTATTCTCATCGATGACGACGATGAGGAGGAGGAAGAACAACCACCCAAACCAGAAAAGAAAACCAAGGAACACAAAAAAGAGAAAAAGGATAAGATTAAGAAAAAGAATAAGAAGGATAAAGTCAAGGATAAGGCGGAGAAAAAGAAATTAAAGGAGGAAAAGAAAGAAAAAATTAAAAAGGAAAAAAAGGATAAGAAGAAAGAAAAGGAGGTAATTTATTATTATTTAATTTTTTTATTTTTTTCATTTATGATTTTTTTTGTTATTTTTGATTTGAAATGTTATTTATACAGCAACGTGATTCTGATGTCCTTGTTCCAAAGCTTACATTAAAATTAGGATCTCCAGCTTCTACAGTTACTTCCGCGGAAACTGATAGAAAATTGTAAGTATTTATTATTATTTATTAAAATTAATGTTGGGCTCAAATATTATTTTTATACTCTAGAATGTTGCAAAATATCATCCAAATCGTTTTTTTGTACAATATACATTTATTTTAATGGTGGAACGGATTTTTTAAAATCCGATTAAAATCCGAAATTTCGGAGATTAAGTTTTAAAAATTCGTATAAAATCAATTTCTTGGAATATGAGAATGAAAATTTCCAAAAGTGTTAATAAAAGCGTCCTCTTTCCAATGAGCCAACCCGTTTTGAAAAATCACTTTTAGTTCTTGAGAAATAAATTTTTGAAATAATCGATTTTGCAATTTTCGCCGATTAAGTTTTAAAAATTCGTATAAAATCCAGTTCTTGGAATATGAGTATGAAAATTTCCCAAACTGTTAATAAAAGTGTCCTCTTTCCAATGAACCAACCCGTTTTGAAAAATAACTTTTAGTTTTTGAGAAAACAATATTTGAAGTTTTGATAAAATTTTCGATGTTGCAATTTTCATCGATAACTTTCAAAATTCGCTATAAAATTAATTTCTTGAAGGATCCTTGTGGAAATATCACCAATTATTAATTAAAGTATCCTCTTTTTAATGCTATAATCCGTTTTGAAAAATAACTTTTAGTTCTTGAGAAATAAATTTTTGAAATGATTAACAATTTTGTCGAATTTTGCAATTTTCGCCGATTAAATTTTAATAATTCGTATAAAATCGATTTCTTGGAATATGAGTATAAAAATTTCCAAAAGTGTTAATAAAAGCGTCCTCTTTCCAATGAACCAACACGTTTTGAAAAATAACTTTTAATTTTTTAGAAATAAATTTTTGAAATGATCCACAATTTTCATTTTCGTTTCATCACTAATTTATTTAAATGTATATTGTTCTTCATGTAAACTCAATCAAGTTGGTGATTGCATTACACATTAATTCATTTACCAACTATGTTATTGGAATAACTTGTCAAAATAAAAATAATAAAATTTTAACATGTTATTTAGGAATATAAAACCTATATTAAAAAAAGAAGAAGAAGAACCTAAAGTAACTCATACGGAATCAACAAGAGAAGTTTCGCCAGAATTAGCAAAAATTAGCGCATTGGTAACTGGTCAGCCAAAACCAAAGGTGACAACTCCAATAAGTAAGTGTTGGTTTAAAATAGTAAAAGCGTTGATTATCTACTTGAAGTAAATAGTAGACGGCATGATTTTTATTTTATTTTAATTTATTTTATTGATATACTGTAATAATAATGATTATTATTTTTAAGCGTCACAATTCTGATTTTATTTTTTATGTTTCCACACTTTAACTACTAACCAATTTGTTCCATTTTATGTTTTGGCCTTGATTTATCGCATTCTCTCCGTTGTTTGTTTAGTTTGCGTAACAACAAACTTGAATTTTATATATTAGTTAAATACAAACTTCGGTAAAAAAGTACTTTAATATTTTCTTTGATTATACAGTTCAAAACGACCTCTATCCGCCTAGCGGCGACACGTACCACTCTCAAATGAAAAAATCTATGTTTAAACCGATACCAAAAAAAGAACCAGAACCAATACCCGCGATTTTTCAGCCGCCACCGTCTCGTTATATCGTAAGTAATTAAAAGAAAATCGCTGAACGAGATCTGTGTTCATTCAAATCTGACCAAATAGAGTTTTCATTTTCATTGATTTTTTGTCATCATCTCAATAATCCCCATTTTCAATTTCGTATACAGCTTTTCCCAAGCAAGGAACTTCGATTATACCTTGCTAAGGACACCTGTATAATTCATAGATATTAAATCAGCTTCTTTACAGCTTCGTATGCTTCCTATTATTTTATTTATTGAAATGTGTAATAGTTTTTCGATTTTAGAAAAATTTTGCTATTAAAATCGAGAAACACTTCTTTGTATATAAATATTTCTTCTTTTTTCGCATGCTTAAAAATAAGAAAATTTTTTAAAGTTAGTTAAGGTGGTGGATAAATTTAATCGGTATGCATGGATCGGTGCCAATTCTCAACTTATTTCTTTTTAATATGTATCTAGCATTGATCGGTTAAAATTATATTTTTTATAGCAATTTTTTTCACTCATTAAAAAATATGTTTTTATTATAATTTTTTTCATACATTATCTAAAACATAAGTTTGTAAGTAGAGGATGAAGTGATTGAAGAACCAGTGGTGGTAACTTCGCCATCGAAACACCAAGGTCCAGGTAGGCCCAGAATACACCCTGTTAAACAGAAACCAATTAAAGCGCAAAAACAGCAAGTAGCGCAACAACCTCCACAACAAGTACCAATTAAAGTGAGTACTGAGGAGACCCAACTGGTGAGACATTTTTTTAACATCTTAGACATCCTTCACATCATTCTTTTTCGTTAAAAAACGCATTTTTTGGTTTGGTCAGGTTTGAGACTAACCGCAGCACAGTTTTTTTTTTAATTTTTCATTTTTTGTTCTTTAGGATAAAGAGGGGAATGAAGTTTGGATTTGTCCCGCTTGTGGTAAACAAGACGATGGGAGCCCAATGATTGGTTGCGATGATTGCGATGCTTGGTACCATTGGTAAATCAATTTTTTTATTTATTTATTATTTTTTTTATTAATACTACTATTTTTTATTAAGGGTGTGCGTTGGTATACAAGTACCGCCTGATGATCATGAAAATTGGTACTGCAGACAGTGTTTAGCTAAAAAACAAGAAGTTCATCAATCTGATAAAAAGAAAAAGAGGAAGAGGAAAGAAAAGAAAGAACATTAATTTTATTTACTTGCTATTTCTAACGTATTTTTGTACTATTTTAAATCTTATTAATTATTTTATTAATTGTAATTTTGAAGATAACTTTATTCATCTTTATTAAATCTTTCAGTGTTTGAAATAAATAATATAGTTAATATTAATAAATTTTGTTTTATTTTTGGTCAAAACGTTATTTTTGAAACCACTCCAGAGCAAGGAAAAACGGTTTGAGGATGACTCGTCGATATATTCCAAATAGTAAATAGCCAGCTATTACTTTGGTGTTAATTTGATCAATATTGATTACAAAATACAAATAAGTTAACTTTAGTAGTTAATTTTATAACAAATCTTATTGTCATTAATTGTAGCGCTTCTGAAGATGACCCTATAAGGTCGAAACATGTAAAGCGGATTTATATTAACAATAAAACCAGTACAAAATTTTTTACATTATTTTGGTTTAACAAGATGATGATGTTTTATTAATAAGCCGAGGTCGCGTAGCGGGCGAGGCATATCCTCGATAGCATTTTCTTTAAGGGTGTCGGTTATAACACCTCGACTATAAATAATCTCAGCCATATGAATTCGCGACCAGCATCTTCATTGTCTTAATATAAAATAGATGTATAACAAATATCACGTTTTATCATTAAGCCGAGGGCGCGTAGCGGGCGAGGCACAGCCTTGATAGCTTTTCTCTTTAACGGTCGATTGCAACACCTCGGCTATAAAGGATCTCAGCTATAACAATTCACGACCAACTTTTTCATTATCTCAAAATAGAGTAATTAGTTGCATAATAACATGATGATGTTTTATTAGTAAGCCGAGGTCGCGTAGCGGGCGAGGCATATCCTCGACAGCATTTTCTTTAAGGGTGTCAATTATAACACCTCGGCTATAAATATTCTCAGTCATATGAATTCGCGACCAGCATTTTCATTGTCTTAATATAAAATAGTTCTATAACAAAGATCACGATGTTCTGTCATTAAGCCGAGGTCGCGTAGCGGGCGAGGCAGAGCCTCGATAGCTTTTTTCTTCAACGGTTGATTGCAATACCTCGGCTATAAAGGATCTTAGCTATAACAATTCACGACCAACTTCTTCATTATCTCAAAACAGAATAATTAGTTGTATAATAACATGATGATGTTTTATTTATAAGCCGAGGTCGCGCAGCGGGCGAGGCATATCCTCGACAGCATTTTCTTTAAGGGTGTCGATTATAACACCTCGGCTATAAATAATCTCAGCCATATGAATTCGCGACCAGCATCTTCATTGTCTTAATATAATATAGTTAGTTGTATAACAAAGGTCACAATGTTTTATCATTAAGCCGAGGTCGCGTAGCGGGTGAGCCAGTGCCTCGATAGCTTTTTTCTTTAATGGTCGATTGCAACAGCTTGGCTATAAGCGATCTCAGCTATAACAATTCACGACCAACTTCTTCACTATTTTAAAATGTAATAATTAGTTGTATAATAAAAAGACGATGTTTTATTAATAAGCCGAGGTCGCGTAGCGGGCGAGGCGCTGCTTCGATAGCATTATATTTAAGGGTGTCGATTATAGCACCTCGGCTATAAATAATCTTAGCCATATGAATTCGCGACTAGCATTTTCATTGTCTTAATATAAAATAGTTGTATAACAAAGATCACTATGTTCTATCAATAAGCCGAGGTCGCGTAGCGGGCGAGGCAGAGCCTCGATAACTTTTCTCTTTAACGGTCGATTGCAACACCTCGGCTATAAAGGATCTTAGCTATAACAATTCACGACCAACTTTTTCATTATCTCAAAATAGAGTAATTAGTTGCATAATAACATGATGATGTATTATTAATAAGCCGAGGTCGCGTAGCGGGCGAGGCATATCCTCGATAGCATTTTCTTTAAGGGTGTCGATTATAATACCTTGGCTATAAATAATCTCAGCCATATGAATTCGCGACCAGCATTTTCATTGTCTTAATATAAAATAGTTGTATAACAAAGATCACGATGTTCTATGATTAAGCCGAGGTCGCGTAGCGGGCGAGGCAGAGCCCCGATAGCTTTTTTCTTCAACGGTCGATTGCAACCCTCGGCTATAAAGGAAAAATCAACTTTTATGTTGAAAAACATGGTCAATTTTTTGGAATAAAAATTTCATTTTACTAAAACGTTAAAACAAGTAACAAAAGCAAGCGTTAACTTCATAATTGCAAAATAAAAAAAATTAAAAAATGATACAAAAGTTGTCTTTTCAAAATTCTCCAAAGCGTAAAGGTAACATTTCAGCGTTTGTGTAAAAAATTGTATAATTTAATTTTTACAAGTAGGCTTTAAATTTTATAACAAAAGCTACCTCCTGTCAAAATAACAATTAGTTTGTATCTGCAAAAAGTAAACTTGTATTACAAAATTAAAAATGAATTATACAAACGCTGAAATGTGCGAAATGCATTACCTTTACGGAATGGCGTGAGGTAATTCGGTAGAAGCAAGGCGGTTGCATCAAGCCAAAACTTGTTTCTATGCATTCACTAACGACTATGAGAAAATGGAAGTTTTAAAAGGAGTACTGATGATAATGAGCGGCCTATGGAAGTTGCAAATCCCCAACTAGAAGAGGCAGTCCTCAACGAAATTGATGAAAATCCGACCACAATTACCAGAAAAATTGCTCACAACTTAAATCTATCTCACTCGACGGTTTGAAGAATTTTGAAAAGGCAACTTTTGTATCCCTACCGTATCCAAAGAGTACAAGCCTTATTGCCAAGAGATTTTAATTTTATATGTTCTTTCCCTAACTTTACCTATAACTTCACCTCTTTGCCATACACTTTTAGGTGTTTCTTGGTATCTAACTATTTCACGATTTTGGCAGTTTTTTATAACTTTTTTATAGGCATTATTATTATATTTATGTGAAAAATTTGTTGTAAAGATAAACATAAAATTAGAAACAATTTTAACATCATTTAATAACAAAGAATTCAAGAAAGCGTATATAAAAGAAGAGATGAATTCAGATTATGAAAATTAAGAGTGAAACTGACGTGGCTATTGTTCCTGAAGATGACTAAAAAATAGTAAAAAAATTCCACCCTTCTGAAAAGCAAAGTTTTTTATTCACATAAATATTCTAACAAGATGGGAAGTAATAATATTAATGATTATTATTATAATATTTTCCACTTTTTTCTTTATCCTATTTCAATTTTGAATTATAAATAGTTTTGTTTATAGTTTTCGGTTGTAATTTCTCATTACTCATTAAAATTTGACCTGGAGTATAACAATGTAATACAAAGCTAAATAAAAATCATCATTTGCTTCCAGCGATTTTTTGAACATTTTCTTTATGGTTTGTATTGTTCTTTTTGTTTGACCATTAGATTGTTGATGATATGGAGAAGAATTCATAAATGTAAAATTCCATTCTTTACCAAAATTTGCATATTCTTTACTCTTCAGTTCACTTCCACTATCTGATATTACAATTTTAGGTATTCCGTGTCTCGCAAAAATTGATTTAAGACTCTCTGTTACCTTTTTTAATGTCATATCTCTATTTAAATTTATAATTATATTATAATTTATTTGATTTTTTACCTGAAATATGTTCAGGCCTATTTTCTGCCAAGGTTTTTTTAGCCTCTTTTAATTGCTTTCTTGAATTTTCCATTAGAATGCAGAAGAGTAATCTAAGTTGCCTAACTTTAACTTATTTAAATAAACTAAACTAAATTCATTACAGTAAGTTGATAGAAACTTTTTTTCAAATTTTTGGACATGTATTATGAAACATTCTGTATTGCGCCACCTAATGAGAAAAAAATGATACAACCATAACAGACATAACCTAAAAATGTTTAAATTTCTAACCTTAAAATAACAAAAGAAAAGTGAAATAGAATTTTTTTGTTTTTCAAATAATGGGTGACGCTAATTCACCTCCAAAGAAGAAATTTAAAACAAAATTATCACCACAAAAACCCAGTGAAAGGAAACAACGTAATAAAACGAATGTTGATGAAAAATTTAAAATGCTACAAACAAAATTAGTGCCTATAAAAACTACCAAGTCCAAGGAGCCACCCCTTAAACAAAGTAAATTATGTTTGAGCAAAATAAAAAGCGACACCAGTATTTTAAAACAAAATATTAAGAATGAACCAGAAATTAGAACATTAGGAGAATTTCAATTTCGATCGAAGTCAACATCACAAAGCAATTTATCTAAATTAATAACTTTCCAATCGAATGGTTATAAAGTAGCAAAATTAAATAATAATGAAAGTAAACGGTTCATAAACCAAATTCTTATTACAAATGAAAATGAAGATGTTAAAGAGAGAAATGAAATTGATAACCAAGAATTAGGCCAATTAATAAAAGATGAGGATGAGGTTCTTTTTACAAATGAAAATCTTGACCAACAACAGCAATTAGAAAAAGATGAGGAATTGGCGAGATTATTAGATGCAGAGGAGCGCGAAATTTTCTCTAGTCAATGTTCTGTCGAAGATGATGAACGTTTCGCGAGATTATTACAAGAAAAAGAAGAAATTCTTACAAACCGATCAGCCGTGGATGCAGCAATGGAATCGTTCGGTAATGAAAGCTCTATGCAGGATGATGAAGATTTAGCAAGACTCTTAGATGTTGATTGGGATGAACATTTTGCTGAAGACAACAAAACACAACCACCAACAAACACAAATCGAGTTAGCCATACAAAAGACTTTCAAAAAGTGTATCCTCACACTCCAATAATGAAAGAAATACTTCATACAAGGTTTGGTTTAAAAACGTTTCGCCCAAATCAAGAAGAAGTTATTAATGCTTGTCTTGAACAGCATGATTGTTTTGTGTTAATGCCTACGGGAGGTGGAAAAAGTTTGTGTTATCAACTCCCAGCTGTCTTAACACCGGGTGTTACAATAGTCATTTCACCTTTGCGAGCACTCATTATTGACCAAGTGGATAAATTAAATGCCTTAGATGTATGTATAGAATTAAATAATTAATTAAAGTAATTAATTCATTTCATAATTTAGATAAACGCCGCCCATTTATGTGGCGACGTAAATCGACAAGACACCGACGCAATCTTACTAAAATTAAATTGTAAAGAACCCATAATAAAACTGCTTTACTTAACACCAGAAAAGATAAATTGTAGCGCATCCACTCAGCAAACGATATCTCAATTGTATAACCGCGATAAATTATCCAGATTTGTAATTGATGAAGCGCATTGTTTATCCCAGTGGGGGCACGATTTTCGACCTGATTACAAAGAATTATCAAAATTACGCAAACAATACCCTAAGGTGCCAATATTATGCTTAACAGCGACTGCAACAAATTTAATTCAAGAAGATGTAACAAACGTGTTAAAGTTACGCGATACTAAAGTTTTCATAACAAGCTTTAACAGGCAAAACATTAAATATGAGGTATTAAAAAAACCGAAAGCCGCTGAGTTATTAACCGAAATATCAAATTTGATCAAATCTCGATTTGCCCGAAAATCCGGGATTATCTATTGTTTGTGTAGAAAAGAATGCGATATGTTAGCAAACGAATTACGCAAAAAAGGAATTAAATCTCGATCGTACCACGCTGGAATGTCCGATAATCAACGAGGAACGGTTCAACAGCAATGGATGAACGATGAGTATCACGTAATTGTAGCAACGATAGCGTTTGGGATGGGCATTGATAAACCGGACGTTCGATTTGTCATTCATCATTCCGTTCCAAAATCGGTTGAGGCTTTTTATCAAGAATCGGGAAGAGCGGGAAGAGACGGAGAACTTTCCTACTCATATTTATTTTATTCATACAGCGACATAATCCGGTTGGAAAAACTCATGAAATTAACAGGGGCCCGAAATCGACAAAACGCGGCGGGTCACAACGAAAATTTGAACCAAATGGTGGCGTATTGCGAAAATCGAGTCGATTGTAGACGCGTTTTGCAACTCTCCCATCTCGGAGAAAAATTCGACAGAAATATTTGCATAAGTAATAAATCATCCACTTGCGATAATTGTTTAAAATTAAATACTTGCAAATACATCGAGAGAGACGTAACCAAAGAGTGCCAAGAACTAGCAATATTAATTAACGATCTCACTAAAACGCAAAAACTTACCATGGCTTTAGTTGCGGATATTTACAAAGGATCGAAACTAAAAAAAATTATAAGCTGCAGATTAAATCAACACGCACTTTACGGGAAAGGCGCCGAACAAAACAGAGCAGATATTCAAAGATATTTAATCGAAATGGTTTCGAAAAACTACTTGCAAAAAACCACCACAAACAGCGGAGCCGGATTCCCTGTTCAATACATCAAACCAGGCCCAAAATACAAAGATTTAATTAATAATCTAGATAAAATTAAAATATCAATCAACGAAACGCCCGTTCCATTAAATGAACCAAAACCATCAACATCAACCGCACCAACACTACCAGTCGAAATCTCCTCCCCATCAGACGGCCAAAACTATAAAGTATCTTCGATAAAATTAAAATGTCACGAAGAACTTTTAGAGGTATGCAACAAATTCGCTTTGGAACGACGTGTCACGTTATCGTCGATAATAAATTTGCAAGCTCTGCGGATCATGTCGGAACAACTTCCCGATAATAAAGACGATTTTATGAAAATACAACACGTCACCAAAGCGAATTACGAAAAATTCGGCGATGCTTTATTGGCCGTTACAGTCAAATATAGCCAACAATTAAAGGAGTTATCTCAATCGTCGACCGCGAGGGTTTGCGCGGATCACGCAGATGTCGATGATTTTACGGTTCCCAAAAAACCGAAAAAAACTGTCAAAATGAAGTATAAAAAATAATAAAGAATTGTGAAGAATGTTTCATATTAAATTTAATTTATATTATTTCGTTATTTTAATTGAGTACATAATTAAACGTTTATTTATAACTCGTTCGAACGTATTTTCTCGTTACAATTGGTGATGCAAACAATACCTTTTTTTTGCGCGGAGAAGCTCGGCCTACTGTTGTAAAGATGCACTAAAGATGTCCGTAAGGTTTATTTCGGCCGGGACTTTCTGTGCACCACTCTTTTCCGGTACCACCTCTCAGGGTATTTCTTCGGAGGAAATGCGGGCGTTGGATGGTGGCTCGCTCTTCTCCAATGGGAAGTATGAAAGTGTAAAATTTTCCAGTTATTTCCATCACGTCTTGCTCGGGTTCAGGTATGCTCCGTCTTCTGCTATAAGATTACTTTTAATTTTCAGAAAGCAAAACCTTAACTTACTGGTATCGGAGGGGGGTTCTTCATCCCACCGGAGATCCCCCTCCGTCTTTGGCAGTTAAAAAAAGTGTGCTCCGCATCATCCATGTGAGTGTCTCCGTAGGGGCACGACGAGCTGTTGACTTTGCGTGGTGTAGAAATTTATTTCACCGTGTTTTCGCTCGCACCATTCCTTGACATTTGGAATGAGTCTTGCCGTCCACCTCCTCCGTAGCTCCGTATTCCAAAAACTTGCTATGCGTCGTACATATCAATTTCTACCTGGTTATTGCTTCAGTTGGGCCCAATGTTGCCTTTGCCTCGTATATTTTCTTCCTTTTAGCAGTTAAGGGGTCGATACCGTCGGTCCGGATACTGTTCGGTATGCACTTGTTATGCGCATAGCGCCTCTTCTTTGAACAGAGATGAGTCCTTTACAGTTTTCCTGGGTAAGTTTGTTACCCCAAACTTCGCAGCCGTATAACATTATCGAGTTTGACACTTTCTTGCTGGTGATTCTGGTTTCCATGAAAGGCATCTTCAGAGGTATCTTGTTAGTAATAGTATCTCGGTCTTGTCCTCTGCCAAGGATACAAGGATTCTTCTCATTACTCTATTAATAGTTATTTGAGCCTCCCTAGTGTCTTGTGCTTGGATCACTGCAGCGAGGTCGGCTGCGTAACCAACTAGGAATGCCTTGCCGGGAATTCCATTCGAAGTATAACATCATAAAAAATGTTCCAAAGCTCTGGACCGAAGACCGATCCTTGCGCGACACCGCACGACGTTTTTCTAGTACGTGGACTATCCGTTGTGTCGTACATCAGTATTGTATTTGTAAAGTAACTATTTATTATTCGTTGTAAATAGGTTGGGATCGAGAAACGTTTTAATGATAACAGGATATCGTTGCAGCCTGCTGAATTGAACGCGTTCTTCACAGCTAGGGTGACCAGGAGCACGATCGGTCTAGAATAATGATTTATCTGTTGGGCTTCAATAAAGGTGCGCGATATCTCAGCCACAGCTCCATCCGCCGATCTTCCTTCATACTGTCTATCGGACAGGCCACCCGCGGCTTGGACACTGTCATTCAATCTACCCCGGAACAGCTTTCCAGCTGTGTTGAGCATGCATAAGCGGAGGAACTATTACTCTCGCCCTTTCTCTTTGGAATAAGAACGAGTTGCTGGATCTTCCATCTGTTACAGAAAATACCCTCTTATTATATGCCATCGGGTCCGGGAGCTTTCCTGTTTTTCATGGTTTTTGCTGCAGCGATTAATTCGTCTTTTGTAAATAATGCAGTTATTTCGCGGCTTAGAAAAAGCGCATCCTTATCAAAAACTGCTGGAGTTGATGTCTGTCCCAGCTTTTTCATAGCAAATTTATACCCTAGGCCCCAAGGGTCCCGGTTGACGTCAAATCGGAGCTCCTCCAATTGCTCGTTTGCTTATGTTAATAGCGCGTTTAAGTTGTTTTTTAGCATTCTTTAGGTCATCACCCTCGTCAGCTTTCCGAACACTTTTTCACCTTTATCACTGCTGGTTTTGCCTTTTCCGGGTTTTTCTTTTTCCTTGACATGGAAGAGTCGCAATGCTGTTTGAGCAGCTCCATGACCATTGTCGCTGTGTCCTCTGCGAGATCGCTCGCTTCCAGTACTTGGTCCTCATCTAACTTCGATACATTAATAAAGCAAATCAAAAATTTGATTATACTTCCACTATGCAAATTACTAAATCAACTACTAGTGGAAGGGGTTTTTCCTGATTCGTTAAAGATAGCTCTTGTGGTACCTGTGTATAAAAAGGGTGACCATGATAAGATTGAAAATTTTAGGCCAATTTCTCTTCTACCCGTTTTCTCTAAAATTTACGAAAAGGCTTTAAAAAATAAAGCTTATGAATATTTTGAAAGTAATAAATTATTTACTCCGACGCAGTTTGGTTTCAGAAAAGAAAAAAGCACTGTTGGTGCAATTGTTGATTTTGTAGAAAATGTCCTATGAGGATGGACACTACATGATGGGTGCTTTCTGTGACCTCAGTAAGGCATTCGATTGTGTGCAGCATGACCTTTTGCTCTATAAGTTGAAATATATAATTTTGACAATAACAGTATTAAATTGATTAAATCATACTTGTCAAATAGGTTACAAATAGTTAAATGTAATGATTTATTTTCTAAGAGAATGGGTATTTCGATAGGATCAATATTGGGCCCTCTTTTGTTTTTAATTTATATTAATGATCTCCCTTAGTATATAACGAATGCTGAGCGTTGGTTAACTAGTAACAAACTAAAGTTAAATTCAAATAAACATACAGTCTCTTTTTGCTGTAAAGTTTTTGGGCGTTTATCTTGATTCCGGGCTGTGCTGGGAGGAACATATTTTGACATTATGTAGTAAATTAAGTGGCAGCATCTATTTGTTGCGAAACCTGCGCTCGAACGTATCTCCACCAGTTTTACGCACAGCATACTTTGCGCTGTGTCAGTCCTCAATGACTTATGCATTGTTAGTCTGGGGCTCTGCTGCTGGTTTTGAACGCGTATTTAGAAATCAGAGAAGGGCTATACGGGTATTAAGAAATTTAAATTATAGAGGCGACTGTAGAAGCTCCTATATTGATTTACAAATATTAATTCTCGAATGTGTTACATATGTTAAAAAAAAACATTAATAAGTTTGACACGTATAAGCAGGTGCATAACTATGATACTAGGAAAAATAGCGATTTGATACCCAAATATACACGATTAACAAAATACCAGAAAAGTTGGAACGCAGTGGCGGTGAAATTTTTTAATAAATTGCCATTACACACAAACTCTTGTTACAAGGGCGTACTACTCGACTTCCGAATATATGAATGACAGCCTTGAGATGATTTCCACCTTTAGCACTTAATGTTGTCTATTGTAATTTTATGTTATTTTATTTTATTTTTTTCTTTAATATGACACTATATAATATGTGTAAAATTTGAACATATTGTATTGTATGTGTAACACAATAAAGATTATGATTATGATACGAGCTCCCCCTTTGCGCCACTGAAGGCTGGCGGTGGCCCACACTAAAGAGTATGTACTGATGATCACTTCCGGTGAATTCTAAGAGGACTCTCCAATCTGCGGTAAACCCAGCAGTTATCTCCGAAGCAAAGCTAAGATCTGGAGTTATTTCCGCATAACCCACTCTGCGAAATGTGGTTGTATTCCCAGTCTTTAGTATTACAAAGCCGCATCTGGACGCTAGCTCAAGGATGCTTCGGCCCCTGGAGTCATTCGGTCGTTAAAATCTCCCGCCACGCCGATTTTTCTTCTCTCGATCATTTGGATCGTATCGTCGAGTAGATCCAATTTACGCTCAAACTAATAATTACTGTGTCGATATTCATTTCGCGCTGGTTTTGGACGAGGACATGATTCGGTGCATGTTAATCTGTATTAATGTGAAAGCTTTTTTTGCTGCGTCTAACGCCAGCCTAAATTTGCCACAGTTTTCCGAACCAGAGGTGTGGTTAATCGATTCTTTTCGGTCGATGATTTTACGAAAAATAAAGAATTATGAAGAATGTTTCAAACAAAAATTTATTGTAACTCGTTTCATTTTTAGTGTAATTTTAATATCTCAAAAAGAAATCTTAACATATATACATTTATTGTCTAAAATGGAATGTTAAGTAGTCATCTTATTGGTAAAAATGCCGTTTCATATTAAATTTAATTTATATTATTTCATTTAGTACATAATTAAACGTTTATTTATTACTCGTTCGAACGTATTTTCTCGTTACGATTGGCGACGAAGGCGCTCTTGGACTTGCGGAGGCTGATTTACATTTCCTGGATTTCGGTGGGCCGGACAAATTTCTTTGGTGTGCATACAACAAAACCCCAATATGGCGATGACCCGCTTCCATCGCTATTTTCAACGCGGTACTTCCATCCTAAAAAATGATTAATTAATTAATTTCATCTCTATGTCTTTTATTTGAAACTAACCACATCTGAAATACTTGAGTCGCATTCTGATTGACTTAAAAAGTACTTTACAATTTCGACATGTCCGTGCTCTGCGGCGCACATTAATGCCGTCGAACCATCTTCATCTTGAATATTAATATCAGCTCCTGCATCTATGAGCATAGTAACCATATCAAGACGTCCATGACTTACTGCAAGCATAAGGGCCGTTTGACCATGTTGTTTGGCACGGACATTTACGTCAGCTAATGAAAATAAACGCTTTACAACATTGCTGTGGGTTTGTGAGCGGACTTCTGCTAAAGAAACGAGCATAACGCTGGTGTAACCCGCTTTGTTTTGTTTGTTAATATCGCAAACTTTCGAGTCTAAAAGTATGGATACCACATCGAAATTTCCGTGGGATACCGCGTAATGCATTGCGGTATTTCCGCTTGCATCTACCATGTTAACTATGTATTCTAGGAGGGAGGATGAGACTTCTTCGAAACTGTCTAAATAATCTTCGACGTCGCGCGGTTCTGCGGTAACTAAACTCGAAATTTTAAACCATTCTTGTAGGATTATGTGAACAGCACTTTTTACTTGATTTTCAATGTTTTTTGTATGGCCTTTTTGAAGCGAATCGTTTAATACTTTCATGGCGGCTTGCATTTCTTTGCTTGGACATGCTCTAAATTAAAAATTTCATCAACAAAGTGTAATAAGATAAATAAGAAAAAAACTTACTTTTTTCTTTGAGTTTGTTCATAAGGTGATTTCTCCATTTTCGGTAGGTCATCATCTTGGGGTGTATCATCGCTTGTAAGAAACTTTTCGTCCAGTTGTTCCTCTCGGGCTTTTTGCGATAAATCTAATCCTGACAACCTAAAAAAATTCGTCGTTACCGGGACGAAGCTAATTGTTTTTCAAATACCGGAGTACCGCGTTAAAATAATGCTTTGATGCATGTAAGAGCAGTGGGCATGCTTGGTGGAAATATTTTTTGGGCTTAGCATTCGAAGCGCGTAGCAAGTAACATTTAAAGAAGCACAACAAAACTGAAACTAAACCTTTGTTTACTCAACTTGGGTATTGATTTTTTGGGGGTTTTGGGTGGCGCCCTCTGCGGGGTTATTACATACCTAGATGATGTAGATGTAGTAGCCGGGATCTTAGTGTAAGTGATTTGTCGTTCGAATTTTCTTCTTTCGTTTAATCGAGGAATTCTAGAAGGTTGCTCATCTTTTACAACTTCCACATTTTCTTTTTTACAATTAAAGCATTCTTTAGCTTGTTCGGCTGTGTTAACCCCGATTTCGGCGGAACGTATTAAATCGGTTGTATCGGTATTTTTTGATGTTCCCAAAAAGATTTCTGGTTGAGTGTATTTATGGAGCAACCTAACCGAATTTTGGCAGCCTTTAGATTGGACTTTAACTTCATGTTGGGTTGATTTATTTGAACCATTTCTTTGACATTGAACCCCAACGGTGCTTTTACTTATTTTGTTTTCTACTTTTGACTCATGGAAGGATAAATCGGCTAATGAAATGTAATGGGAGTCTTTATTAAAGTCGTTTTGGTGGAATTCGTCGTTTGAAGTGCCAACAACTTTCGTTTCGACGACGGCTTGAGAGGCTTTAGATGCCACATCAGGAGTTGCGATGCACTCTTTGTTAACTAAAAATCTTGTGGACTCCGCTTGAACTGCCACTTGAGCTGTGGTAACCGCGTCCGGGCCGATTTTGGCGTTTACGCTTTCTTTTTGAGTGGTTTGAGTGTATTTGGTAAAAGCCATCCCGACGTCTTGAATAGTTGCCGTTGATACTGACCTGGTGTTTGGGATTTGACGTCCAACGCCTACGCTACGCGTTAAAACGACGCAATTCACACCAAAATCTCGTTTCGGAGTCGTATTTTCTTCTTGGCGATAATTACCGTTGATGTTTAGATTATTTTGTTCTAAATTAATTAACTCTTTCTTCTCATTTCTTAAACGCTCTATTTCCGATTTTAAAACAGGAATCGTTTTCACTTGTTCTTCTAATTGTTTCATTCTTTTTAGACTTAGTGCCATTTGTTCTCTTATATTTTGAAGAGCTGCCGGGCTTAATCCGTTTGATTCTAAACTTATCGCGTCAAAATCTTTTTGCTCATATGGTAGTATGGTTAAACTTGACGCGGAAGTCGTTGAAGTTGAAAGAGATGACACTGAAGGGGATCTATGAATACCTATTCAAAAATGTGTTAATTGTATAATTACACTAGACCACAAAAAAATCATTAAAAATCACATTTAAAATTTTTTTTATGGATACGTTTTGGATCTCTGGATTTACTTGCTTTCTCATGAATGAGGATCTCTTTAGTAAACTGGAGATGTTGAATTACTGCCGAATTACTTCACTATGAGAATTTTGATATTTTGTGTGTTTCTGCAACTTGGTTATCGCCATCTATTGATGATGGCTTGGTGTTTATCGTAGAGATAGAGTGTCGTGGAGGTGGTGTTGCGATCTATGCAAGAAATGTTTTTGCTTCTAAGTCTATTGCTTTTGAAACAGGCCTCCTGCAACTAATATTACAACTTTTATTGATGATTTGGAGTTCCAATTGACTGAACTTAGGTTGCGATATAGCATAATTTTTTGTTTGGGTGATTTTAATATAAATTTATTAATTCCTGATCATAGAGATACTGTTAATTTGTTACACTAAAACTAGAACTAGCAGTATCACTAGAACTAACACTAGACCTAGAACTTTCGGGTTAAGCCGTGCGTTTTTTGAAAAAATGTTTGACGTTTCGGATGCCATGTTGCAACCTTCTTCAGAAACAAGTTCGAAGTGACGAACTTGTGCAGAAAATAAAAAAGGACCCAACCGAGAAGATAGTAAGGAAAATGAAAGAACTGGTAAAATCCACAGAAATCTCAGCAGATCAACAGAAAAGCTTATTCGTACAGGCTCCAGTACCACCAAGGATACCCAAAATCCATAAACCAGACGTCCCACTACGCCCTTTTGTCAGTGCCATAAATTCTCCCACCTATCAGCTAGGTAGAAGAGTCTTGATCATAACTCAAAAATTAAAAATGATGGAGAAAAATATTTTATATATAATTATTTATAATGAACCAACAATACATAATCCATAACGAGATTCAGATTAGTACTCATCGAATTATAGTTAGAAAGTCGAAATCCTTAAAAATATCAAAATTGTTGATTTTAGTTACTAAATTTGATCGTAACTCAAAAATTAAAGATGATGGAGAAAGATATTTAATATATAAATTGTTTATAATGAACCAAAAATACATAATCCATAACCAGATTTAGATTAGTTCTAATCCTGTTATAGTGAGAATGTCGAAATTCTTAAAAATATCAAAATTGTTGATTTTAGTTACTAAATTTGATCATAACTCAAAAATTAAAGATGATGGAGAAAAATATTTAATATATAAATTGTTTATAATGAATCAAAAATAGATAATCCATAAAAATATTCAGATTAGTTTTAATTCTATTATAGTTAGAAAGTCGAAATCCTTAAAAATATCAAAATTGTTGATTTTAGTTACTAAATTTGATCATAACTCAAAAATTAAAGATGATGGAAAAAAATATTTAATATATAAATTGTTTATAATGAACCAAAAATACATAATCCATAACAAGATTCAGATTAGTTGTAATCGTATTATAGTTAAAAAGTCGTAATCCTTAAAAATATCAAAATTGTTGATTTTAGTTACTAAACTTGATCATAACTCAAAAATTAAAGATGATGGAAAAAAATATTTAATATATAAATTGTTTATAATGAACCAAAAATACATAATCCATAACAAGATTCAGATTAGTTGTAATCGTATTATAGTTAAAAAGTCGTAATCCTTAAAAATATCAAAATTGTTGATTTTCGTTACTAAACTTGATCATAACTCAAAAATTAAAGATGATGGAGAAAGATATTTAATATATAAATTGCTTATAATGAATCAAAAATAGATAATCCATAAAAAGATTCAGATTAGTTTTAATCCTATTATAGTTAGAAAGCCATAATCCTTAAAAATATCAAAATTGTTGATTTTCGTTACTAAACTTGATCATAACTCAAAAATTAAAGATGATGGTAAAAAATGTTTTACATATAAATTGTATGTAATGAACTGAAAATATATAATCCATAATCAGATTTAGATTAATTACAACAATTTTTTAGTTAGAAAGTCGAAATCTTAAAAATATCAAAATTATTGAGTTTCCTTAAACTTGATTTTAGAAAGAAGGAAGATGAAAGAACTGGTAAAATCCCAGCAGATCAACAGAAAAGCTTATTCGTACAGGCTCCAGTACCACCAAGGATACCCAAAATCCATAAACCAGACGTCCCACTACGCCCTTTTATCAGTGCCATAAATTCTTCCACCTATCAGCTAGGTAGAACAGAGTCATATGTCAGAGATTCCACACATTTTGCAGAATCAATTAGGAATATGAAGCTAAATCCTCAGGATGGCTGGTAAGTTTCGACGTGGAATCTCTATTCACCAGAGTACCAGTCAAAGATGCCGTGGATGGTCTCAAATCCCGGAGGGTTTGCCCAAGTATGTCCCAGGACTAGTGGAGTACTGCCTATCGTCGACATACTTCAGCTGGAAGGGGAAATTCTACGAGTAATGCGAAGGGGCAGCCATGGGACCACCTCTGTCTCCTGTGATAGCCAATTTTTACATGGAGATGTTTGAAGAGGAAGCGTTAAAGAAACGAAGCTATGGCTCCGTTCGTCGATGACACTTTCATGATCTGGCAGCATGGAAAAGAGCAACTCCAGGAATTTTTAGACCACCTCAATTCATAGCACCCCATGATAAAATTTACCATAGAAACAGAAACTGCAAAACAGTTTCCATTCCTGGATGTGTTAGTCACTAGGAAGACAGATGGGGGCATGGAACTGGGAGTATATCGGAAGAACAAAGGATTTTCCAAGAATAATAAAATGCACTGATACCTCAAATATCCCTTTTCAAGTAAACTTAATTCACTGAGTAATCACTGAGATGTGGCAGCCATCTTGAAATTATTTTAAATCGAAAGATTGGGATGAATAGCTCCTATAACGGTGGTTATAAACAAATGCCTGGTTGAAGGAATTTTTCCAGAAGAACTAAAATTTGCCAAAATAGTACTGTACTGTAAATAAACTGTAGTAAATATCGGCCAATTTCTATCTTGCCAACTATGTCAAAAATTATTGAATCGATTATAAAGCAGAAGATTATGACGCATCTAACCGAGCAAAATATTCTAACAAAATATCAATATGGGTACCAACCTCAAAAATCGACAACTACAGCTCTCCTAAGTGTTCTACAATTGATTCTTGACGGTTTTGATAAACAAAGGTTTACACACATTATTTTCTGCGATTTGATCTGGTGGACCATAAAATTTTGATAGAAAAAATAAGTGCGTATGGAATGAAGGGAGGTATAAAAAGATTACTCAGTTCCTACCTTGATCAGAGATACCAACAAGTTCATTGGAAGGGAAAAATATCAAAATAGAATTGTGTCAAGGCTGGTGTACCGCAGGGATCAGTATTGGGACCAATATTGTTTCTGTTATACATTAATGAGCAACATTCAATCGGATTCACTGTGTCTCTACGCTGATGATACGTCCTTTATAAATGATGGCGGAAATATAACCGATTTAAAATTTAAAACTTCAGAAATATTAAACGATGCTAAAAGATGGTTCAATTTGAACAAACTTAAACTTAATGAGGAAAAAACGTTGTCAGAAACTTTAACCTGGACAGAGCATATTAATGAACTAAAAAAGAAACTAGCAAGTCCGTTGTATTGTTTAAGGGTTGTGACCAAGAATTTATCATCAGATATAGCTAAAGTCGTTTACTACGCCTACTTCCACCGTATGGCAACGTATGGAATTGAAGTTTGGGGGGTATCTAGTCAAATAATCGATATCTTTAAACTGCAGAAAAACATGACTACCATACCAGACACGGAAATGATATTCAGGTTCCGTACCATAGGATAGAAAAATCCCAGAATTCTTTCAAATATGTTGGCATAAAGTTATACAACTTGATACCATCCGAAATAAGATCATTAAATAACAGTCAATTTAAAATTACTATGAAGAGAATGTTATTGGAAGGCGAGTTCTATTCGGTGCAGGAAAGAGTTTGAAGAGTCTAATAAAGCGATGTTGATGTGTCTACATTATGTAATATAAATTTTTTTTTCTTTTGTATTGTATTGACGCGAATAATGTATTATGCATACTTATTCAATAAATATTATTATTATACGTAAAATTTCAAAATTTCTAACGGTCTCGTTGCGCGGAACTTCATGTACAAGAAAAATCTGTGCTCTCACATATAGAAGATTGGTAATTTCTCCGGAGATTCTCATCCTGCGTACCTTGTTGTCTTCTTAAAAGAGCAAACTTTACGTAGAACGTAAAAAAAATTTTTTTTGCGACTCTCCGACTTATTCATTCGGATAAGGAATGAAGTTGCTTAAAACTACCGAACCGATTGGAAAAAGTATTAATAACATTTATTGGCTATACAATACTCTTTAATTTTATGAATAGCACGACCAGATCGGTCATATCTAATTCGAGATATGCTGCAAATAGTAAAAGAAAAAAAAAACGTATGCATAGAATAAATTTTAAATGTGATTTTTGGGTTTAGGGAACCAAACTACATAAGAAAAATATAGTCAAATGTACACTTTATGAATTTTTTTTTAATAATGTTTTTAGTGTTAATATATATTTTACCTGTAACAGCGGTAACATCGGGAAGATTACTAGATAAAACATTTTTGTTGGCAGTTCTTTGAAGTGTTTTTTCAAAATCGAACACAACATCGGATAACGTACTGCTAACGGTGGGCGATTGAACGAAGCCTGGAGCGGAAGGAGGTTTCTCTGGGACTGGTGTGGGCGTCGATGGAGCGAGTCCTAGAAGAACGTCCATCGACTGCCGTTGCCTCCTGCGGTCCTTCCTCCTGGAAATGGAGGATGTCCTTTCGGACTGACAAATTGACTCGCAGTAGCGTACGAAGTCGAGGTCGATGTGGTAGCCATAGGGGCAACAAGAACATTGGCACCACTCGTACTCTATCGGAATAAGAAAAATCTCGAAGAAATGACGAAGGAAAAAGTAAAAATAACTTACCAAAACTTTTCTTTACGGAGTCAGAGTAGGACATGTTGTAGCCCGGAGGCAAGCAAACCGTGAACGAAAATATCTGTTATCTAATCTCATTAAGCACGGGGGACCTATAAAGCGTTGATAAAACGTTTCGCAAAAGTAACACAAAAAAAGATATTTGTTATTAAATTAAATTTTTTCGTTCAATGTCAGGCCGTGGCGTAACAACATTTCATCAACAGCTGCCGGTCATTTGTCTGAGCGTTATTTTTATAGCGACACAGAATATCGAGATGTCGAGGCGTCGACCTTCACAGTTGTAGTTCTTCGTCAAGTCAACTTCTCGCACTTTTTTCACACATTTTTCACAAAAATCAAAACGTTGTTGACGAAAACGCCTTTGTATTTATATACCTGCCCACTATGACATCGACTGGATCGACTGCGATCTTCGCAGTACCGGCTACTATGTCAGGCTAACGACGGTTGTGGCCGCGTGGTGGGATGCCACTTTGGGAACATGATCTAAATGGAATGCGAACGTTCGTTAGTTTCGTTCGTTGTGTTGTGGGTCGTTCGACAATGTGGGGATGTGGGGACTCTCGACGGCAGCTGCTGTACAACTCTTCTGAATTCGAAACCTCTGAATTGAACGTTGCGGATTCCGGATTAAGGATCGTAACGCCCCGGAGGCCTTCGTCTTTTCTAAACGGAGATTGCTATTGAATTACCCACAAGGTCCCTTCTTTCTTCTTTATTCTTTACATGTATCTATGCGCAACAGGTGTAACTTTATTTTAACCCACAGCTGCAACACTTTTTATTACTTTACACATCGGTTTATTACATTCTTATAGTTTTAATTATCTATTCACTAATAAAACAATAAATAATGACCCTTTTTTTTTATCAAAGTGCTGACTGATTAAATGAATTTCCATTACTACTTTATACTCATTGTTTTTGTTAGATAAGCGTTTAATTTATACGTAATATCTCGGTTTGTAAATATGCATAATAATTATTCAAACGGTAAAGTTGCAAAAAAAAATTATTTATATCTTTCTATTCATAGTTATAAAATTTATATTAAAAAAAATATCATGATTGTTGATTAATAATTTAGTTAATTGCGGTCGGTTATTTGGGTTGCCTAACTGCTTAATAACACCATTGATTATATTAATCTAGATCGCTAACTATATGTATAATATTGGCAGCTGTGTATGTTGGGTTGCATCACGCACTGTTTATTCTCAAAAAGAGAATAAATGTAGATGAATATATATATGTTACCGTCTATCTGTATAATTCAGGTGCTCTATACAATGCCTAGGTAATGTATAAAATACCTGGGGTGTCTAGGCAATGCATGAAATATTATGAAGATTATTGTCCCTTAAATACTTTACCTAGGTAATGTGTTAGTCGACCGGCAATGTATAAAATAAATAGATTTTGGTCTGTATTTATCAATTTTTACCCATAATAAACTTTTTTATAATCTATAAGTTATTGTACAAAATCAAGTAATAAGTATTAAAAACTTAGGAAATGAAATAATTCTGTAAAAACAAGACGTAGCCTCTCAGAATTGAGTAAATAAAAATATATATTTATTTATTCTTACATGAGGAACTATTGTGACATTTTGAAGTGCATAAAATCTTACTTTTGCGATATTAACACTTTTTGGTATCTATTTTATAAAGTTCGTCGTTCTCTGTCCACTTCCGGAACAAGGATTTTTACAGTGGTACCCAATGGCATATGGGGAATTTTCTTTCCGGAAGTGTTAAGCGTTTTCCGAGCTTGTTCTGTTAAATTATCATTGGAACTACAGCTAAAGCGTTTTTTAAGCGTAGTGGGCAAACAACTTTAGAACCGTAGCCTTCTCCTCCCCCTAGAATACCTAGGCAAAGTATAAAATTAATAATATTTCATATATTACCTAAACGTTTTATATATAAGTTGCAAAGTATAAATAACATCAAAGAAATAGCATCTGAAAAAGTTTTCTTCATCTCTCTCATTTTCCGAGGAATAAAATGCTAACAATTAATACTTAAAGTTCATTGGTGTTACTTAGATACAATCGTTACTATTTAAAATTCTCCTTAGAATCTTAAAAACGCACTAAAATGAAATATGACTAATAAACATTTTACTGAAGGAAATAATAACAATCTTTAAATGTGGAAATATATTTTAATGTATCTTGTTTAGTGATTTGATGGTGTGAATTGGCGCTTGTATTAAAGAAAAAAAAATTAAATAAAATAAAACTTGAGTAAATAAAAAAAACAAATCATCAAAGAAATAAATAAATATAATCTATTTAAATAAATTAATGAAAAATGAAGATGAAAAAATACAATATTAAAGGCATATATTCGAACATAGACTCTACAATATTAATTATTATAAATTATCTTATCGCATATACTCTAATAACAACTACTTACATAAACTGATTTAGGTACTAAAATAAAAATAAAAATTGAATCATGTTTTAAGAAAAAAATATGTTAAATAGTTTCATCACTTTTTTTATTTTTAAATACGCCAATCTTTAATAAACTCTTCCTTCAATCTTGTAATGTTATCGTAACTGGTATAGTTTGTGTAATAATAACTTTTTTATTCATTACTTTTTTTTTGCTAAGATCAGTTAATTAATTAATAAATGTAAAAAAGAATCAAACATAGAGCGTTGGATTTTAACCGATAAATTTATAATATTGTTTCATTTTAATTGATTTATTGGTAATAGTTTAAGATTTTCTTTTTTAATAAAAATTATTAATCGGCACCTGTGTCATGCTCTCTATTATAATATATTGTAGCTATATCAATCGAATATATTATTAACCCTTCGTCTGTAAACGGTTTTTTAGCACCTTCCGTCTGTAAAGGTGGGTCTTTCGGGTTCGGCCGTTTTTTCATCCTGTTAATGCACTCAAAAAATTGTATAAACAATTCATGATAATGTTCGAAACCTTACACTTCATAAATCAATCATAAAATTATCGAAAAATTTATTTTTGCCTACATATTTTTTTATACAAATGAAGAAATTATTTGCCTAAACAGTTATAGTGCGGACAGGAAATACCCAGATTTACAGAGGATTTTAGGAATTTTACAATAAGAAAATATAAATTACAAAATATCTAAGCCAATGTTTTATTTTATTACACATTTCGGAGGGTACAAAGACATTAACCCTTAGTGTGCACACGGGGTCATTTTGACCCTAAAAATTTATTTCAACTTATATAGCCTTAAACGGGATTGGCTCATTGAATTGTATTCCTAACGAAAGTATTACGCCCTTTTTTCGTAAAATAGCGTTTATTTCGAGTAACTTCAAATTCAAGCACGTTTTTCGACAACCAATAAAAATTTCTTTTAAATTTTATTTTACTAGGACAAAGTTCAATCAATTTACTACAAAAAACATTTGAAACATTTTCCCGAAAACGTGTACAGTAGTGGTGATATTGCTAGTGGGAAATTGATCAGGTCAATTTGACCCCGTGTGCACTTGATGATTCGCTATGGAGGTGTGCACACTAAGGGTTAAGATGTTTTTCCAATTTAATGTTTGAATTCAATTTGTATTATATTACAATGTAATTATTGTTAAATAGGCGCATTTTCCGCTTTTTTGTGAAATGGAGAAATAAAATATTATTATTAGTGCATACCACATACCACTCCTTATTCCTTGTGGAAAATATATTGAACACTTCCATATCTTGAGCCAGAGTACCATATGTACATATTAATAGAACATTCGTGCAAAATAATTTAATATTAAAATAGTATTATTGAAGTGTTTGCCGAACCTATCCTTTGATATCGACTCCTTCCGCTGACAGAATGAGAGTCATTCGGTTTGCGCATACAACATATCAATCCTATTATTCCACGTGGAAAATAACCAAAATGCAAATATACCCACTTCGTAGGCATGCTGGAGGGTTTGTAAGCCTCGCTGACCACATGCTTCCATGAAAGTACTAACTCTCATTGAGATCAGAGCATCATGGTTATTTTCCACGTGAAATAATAGGATTGATATGTAGTATGCGCAAGTCGAATGACTCTCATTCTATCAGCGGAGAGAGTCCGTATCAAAGGATAGGTTAGGTAAACACTTAAACAATACTATTTTAATATCAAATTATTTTGCATGATTATTCTATGTATATGTACATATGGAAAACTAGCAGCTTCAGATATTGAAGTGATCAATATACTTTACACATAATTATTCAACCAAACGCAAGCTTTCGTTTGAGATATAAAACAATTAAATAATACTATTTTAATATCAAATTATTTTGCACGAATATTCTATTTATACGTACTTATGGAATTTTTATCATTATTCCTCGTGGGAAATATATTGAACACTTCCATATCTTGAGCTAGTATACCATATGCACATATAAATAGAACATTCATGCAAAATAATTTAATATTAAAATAGTATTATTTAAATGTTTGCCGAACCTATTCTTTGATATCGACTCCTTCCGCTGACAGAATGAGAGTCATTCGGCTTGCGCATACAGCATATCAATCCTATTATTCCACGTGGAAAATAACCATGATGCAAATATACCCACTTCATAGGCATGCTGGAGGGTTTGTAAGCCTCGCTAACGACAATGCCTCCATGAAAGTACTAACTCTCATTGAGATCAGAGCATCATGGTTATTTTCCACGTGGAATAATAGGATTGATATGTAGTATGCGCAAGCCGAATGACTCTCATTCTATCAGCGGAGGGAGTCCATACCAAAGGATAGGTTAGGCATACACTTAAATGATACTATTTTAATATCAAATTATTTTGCATGATTATTCTATTTACATATACATATGGAAAACTAGCAGATTCAGATATGGAAGTGTTCAATATACTTTACACATAATTATTCAGCCAGACGCAAGCTTTCGTTTGAGATATAGAACATTAAAATCGGTCAAACCGTTCTTTAGTTATAGCGAATTTAATCAAAATTATTTTTTTTCTAACTAGGGGCCAGACTTCCAGTCGGTAGATACGTGGAGTCATTTAAATGGTAGGTTAGGCAAACACTTAAATAATAGTATTTTAATATCAAATTATTTTGCACGAATATTTTAGTTATACGTATATATGCAATTTTTATTATAATTCCTCGTGGAAAATATATTGAATACTTCTATATCTTGAGCCAGTGTACCATATGTACATATAAATAGAAAATTCGTGCAAAATAATTGAATATTAAAATAGTATTATTTAAGTGTTTGCCGAACCTATCCTTTGATATCGACTCCTTCCGCTGACAGAATGAGAGTCATTCGGCTTGCGCATACAGCATATCAATCCTATTATTCCACGTGGAAAATAACCAAGATGCAAATATACCCACTTCGTAGGCATGCTGGAGGGTTTGTAAGCCTCGCTGACCACATGCTTCCATGAAAGTACTAACTCTCATTGAGATCAAAGCATCATGGTTATTTTCCACGTGAAATAATAGGATTGATATGTAGTATGCGCAAGTCGAATGACTCTCATTCTATCAGCGGAGAGAGTCCATATCAAAGGATAGGTTAGGTAAACACTTAAACAATACTATTTTAATATCAAATTATTTTGCATGATTATTCTATGTATATGTATACAGGATGTCTAGAAATTACGTGTACAACGCAAGACCACCAGTAGCTTGACAAAAAATATGATCATATAACTCAACTTATCTATATACAAAATTGCTTAGTTTAGCCTCTAGAGGGCTTTAAAAATAATATATTTTTTTAATAAGTGAAAAATCTTCGATGGATTTTACTCATTTTTTGGTCATGCGTGTATCAGTAGACTACAGTTATTTGTGGAGTAAACTCAATTT